GTGATTATCCAGTGATTTGCTTCGTATCACATCTTGAATAATGCCTTACAATTCGTTCGATTGTTTGGTTGGTTGTTATCCCTAAATTTGGCACAATAAATAATTTCCATCATCCAAAAATAACACTCTCCGTCGGAATGTTTTTCTTGTGCCAAAAACCAATGGAAATTCATTTCAAATTTCGGACAATTTTATTGGCAATTGGAGAGAATTGAAACAAATCCGATTATTAATTCGAGCAGACACATACATACATATCGATCTGATTTTGTGCGAGAAAAGTGCTCAAAGTAACGGAAGTGTATTCGATTCAATGGGTCGCATCAAGAGGTTTGGGCTTTGACAATCGATGTGTTTTAAAGGGAAGAAAAGCGGAGAAAACAAATTGAGCACGGAATTTATCGGAAGCATTTCAAGGACAGTTCTTAAATTTCTCGCCACCCTTTTAAAGAGAACATTGATTCAAGATGCAAACAGCCGGTTTTAAAAGCCATAACGAAGGGTAACTTTTGACGTTTTATGCTGTTTTTTGCTGCTCTTTATCGTTTGGTGTGAGCTGAACGAAACATGCTACGCAGTTTCTCAAACGAAGTACGTTCACATCGGTTGCGTTGCTCGGGAAGCGGTGATTTTATACAGCTGCTTCGACTTTCGAAATTTGACTGATGATGTAATTTAAGCATTTGAGCAATGTCTTAGTTGGCGACACGCACGCACACACACGCACCCAATTTGAATAATGGTCCGGAGATTTGTTCGACAAATTGCTTCATTTGACGGAATGATCCTATTCTTCTGACCGAAACAATAATGAAATTAACCGTAAAATAATTAAAAAGTTATTATACGGCACCGAGGGGACATTTGAAATTGTCAAGGCCACCGGTAATTTACATTCCGTCGTCACTCTCAATTTTGTGATGTCGATGAATTATTAAAATGTCTTTTTCTTTATTCCATTCCTTTGTGACAGCAGAAAAAAATGTGTCATTTTATTACGAAAACGCCATGGTTCCCATTGAGTTCAGTCGGCTGTGCTATTGAATTGTTTAATAATAAATTCATGTCTTGCTTTTCATTCTGTTTCATACACTTAATTTCCGATGTCACAACAACTGAAAAGTGCATATACACAGTAAAAAATAAAATACCACACTTAGGCGGATTTTCGACTGGTAGAGGCGCCCAGTCTTATATTTTGCCTAGTAAATTGAGTTTCAGACGAAAAACCGACTAGATTATAAGCGGAATTTCGCCTGCAGCTCAAATTACTAGCAGCAATATCGGCTGAATGCGTTTTTAGCTGAAAAAACGGCTAGATGTGGACTTTTATTTTTTACTGTGTACGAATTTCGTATTGTTTTCGAGATATCAAATTAGTTGGATGACTGAAATTCTGGATTGCAGACGGAAACATCGAGTAATTTAATAAACACCAGAGATAGAGGTGAATTGGAAACATTCTCTGGCGTTGGCATTCAAATGGATTTTGTAACAATTCTCCGTACTGGCAACATCAGCAGCACGTGAATTACATTTTAATGCATTTCTGGATGATGTACATGTACATTGCTCACAAAAGTGGAAACGTATGTATATATGGCACTGCCAACACACATATCAATTACACACACCTTTGATGTATGTGTGTGTCTTTCAATTCGATTCCGTACCCCGAGACCGCTCTCTGTTCTATCCGATTCCTTTCACGCAACAACAAAACTTTCGTTAAATTCATCTTTTGTCCGCGCTAGTATTTTCATTAACGAAACTTTCCTACGTTCGAACATAGAATTTTTGGTTTAAGGCGCACATGACTCGAGACGCATATTTACTGCAGAAGTACCCGCAGCCAAGTGAACAGACACACACACACACAACAAAGTGAGTAAGAGAGGAAAAGAGAGTGAGAGAGAGTGAGAAAGAGTAACAAGAGACATGTGGACATATTGAACAAGTGTGGTGTGCTTGTGTAAAACAATAGTCGGGAAACCATACAAAAGAATGGTTGGTAAAGAAAAAATACCGACCTGTTTTCGAATTTTAAGCGTCAGTTCAAAGGCATACAACACTTTGGACACACACACAGATACAGAGAGAGAGAGAGTGAAAGAGACAAGGGAAAAACAATTTTTTATTACAGAAGAAAGGCGAAACATCGCTCGTTTGTTCAAAACAAAACAGTCAAAAGAAGCGGCAGAAAAATTACAAAGGAGAACAGATATACGTGTGTGTGTTGCTGGCTAAAGGAAGGCTTTTGCATATGAAACCAGAGACATTTTAAAGACATTATTCCATTTTTTTTTCCTTCTTCTATAGAATAAAAGACACTGCTAAACGTTTTAATGTGTCGCTGGAGGAAACAAACAAAACACAGTGACGCGTGCATTGTTGAAGCATGAACTTTGTTTGGCTTTCCAAAAACAATGGACACACAAGCATGACATTGACGTGGAAAAAACCGTATCTATTTCAACGGATGGGTCAGAAATACTTGATGACAACAACCTTGCTGGCCGTTTTGATTCAAATTTAATACCATTTCACCAATTAAAATCGCATTCGAATTTTTTTTTTTTCGATCACAATATTTTATTTGAATTTGAACGCCTTTTTGGCGTTTTCTACGTGCTATAATGTTGCACACATTTTGAAATGTGTGCACACAAAGAGATGTTTCAACATTTTGATTGAATGTTTCCAAGCTGAAAATGTGAAACAATCAATTTTTTTATGTTTCCCCAGTGTGAATCTCCACATCGATTAAATTGCGCCTCAAAACACACCGGTTTTTTTTATAGTCAAGTTTCATCCCACAGAGAATAATGCGCTGATAAAAGTGCTTTTAACGGCTTTCCTATTTTGGGAATATATTAAATGCCATCGGATATTATGTGTGTATGTCGAAATGCACACAAAAAACCGTGCGATCAAATTTTAATTTGGACTTTTTCGCTTTTATCAGCAAAATTGATGCAAGCGGCTAAAATAATTACGAAATCTCTGCCAACAACACAATTGTTAATTTAACAAATAACGGTTAATTAAATTTGCTGCAGGCCTAGAATCCTGTTTTGTTTACTCTTAATGCAGTTCTATTGAAATTTTTTAATAATTTTGAGGAAAAAGTGGCAATTTCTCATCGGAATTCAAACTAGTTTTTTTCAAATGAGTGGTTAAAAAAACGGTTGGTCAAGTTAAATGAAAAGTTGCTCTTTTGCAATGCCATTACATAGAATCTGTGAAAACGAATGGTTTTGTATTGTGTTTGTGTATCCCATTAGAATGGTGTGGTTGACGAAAAAGTGACGAGAAAAAATCCCAACGACAAGATAACAAAAACAGAACGAATAACAATGGCCAGCGTTTACTAAAATGTTATTCATCCGACACTCCGATCGTATATTGCGATCCATACACTTTGTCTTCTTTTTCGTGTTAGTTTTATTTGTTTAGTCATAGCGTTGTATCGTCATCGCATCTTTTGCATGTGAAAAAAGGTCGAGAAATTGTTATTATGGCCGATAAAAACGAATAATTTATGTAATTTGAGGGAAAAAAAACACACAAATACATACATACGCCAACACGCCAACAAGAAAGCAGAACCGAACGAACGATGAAACGAACAAACAGAAAGAAAAATATGTTTGAAATCAGAAAATGGTTGTTTGGCCACGAACACCAAAGATAAAAACAAACGACGAGGAAAAAAAAGAAGTTAAATGAATATCAGGTAAAATGCTTTGGATGCACACAAATGCATAGTTCTGCTCACATGTGTTGGTTATCTGTTTGTATCTTTCTTTTTCTCTGTTGAAGCAAGCAAAAAAGAAAGATTCTCACTTTGTGCACACAAACACACAGACAGAACGGCAATCATAATACACACACTGGCTGTCGGATATTAAGCCAGAGAACAACATTTTTCCTCGCAAGAATAGTAAGAAGAAGAGAAAAACAAATTGCAGAAGCAAGCAGCCATCAGCAGCAGCAGCAGTCATCAACACAAAAACAGACTCAACGAATACACCGAATGAAATAGAAAATGGTCTTTTTGTGAGAGTGTGAGTGTGTGTGTATGGCTGTGTTTGTGAATTCACATGACTTTTTCGATTCATCTATTTGTGCGTCTCGATTGCCCGGATTCTAATGTGTTTGTTATTTATGTATGATTTTTCTATTTCATTCTATACATTTCAAACGCATGGTTTTTTTTTGAAAAAAGAAAAAGATAAAACCTAGTGACGCTCTGTAAAGAAAAAACAGCAGCCATGCTCAGTCGAAGGTTCCTTACATGGAACGCACATTGATTCCACTTTTATACTTTTTAATATCCATTTTCATATTTATTCTCATTCAACACCGAAACGGTACTCCATTCTTTTCACAGCTTATTACCTAAGAAATGCTTGACGTAATAGCTATACACTCGACTCAATTCGGTGTGTGCGTATGGTCTGTCTCTCTGCCTATGCTCCGGTTCGATGCATCACGAAACAAAAAAAAAAGTGTCTTGCATTTTCAGGTACACAAGCAAAAGGCGTACATTGTGTATGCATATACCAAGTGTGCGATCGTTCAACCATTTCAGAATGCAGAACATTTAAAGCACACATATGCCTGAAGTCATGAAACATTCTCAAAGCGCACCAAACAAACGCGAATATGGAGAGTTGGCTTTTTAAGCAGATTGTTGGGAAAAAAAACACCAACAGCGAGTGGCAAGGTAAACGAGTGCAATATACAGACAAAGCAGAACGTGAACAGCGACAAAATCACAGCCAAAACCATTATAACGTTTGTTTGTATGCGCGCACGGCGATCGCGTTAAGGTATTTGTGTTGATGCAAGAACTATCGTCGTCGTTTTTAAATAAATGTATCAAGACCCTCGTAAGACATACATGCACCCAGCCGATCATTACGGCTGCATTGAAAAAGAAAAACTCACACATGCAACAACGGTGTAAAATGAAGGGAATGTGAAGACAGACTTACCGATACACAATGTAAATCCGAGTAGATGACACAGTGTGAGTAAACTTATGAACATAGTTTTGGTTGCTGTTGCCGCTGACGATGTAATTCTGGTTCGCGTTACAAACCAATTTAACGATGACGATGTTGATGATGACGGTAACCGTCGCGATTTCCTTCGTACTTTCATTCGTTTATTCATATTTAATATGTGTTCCATATTATCAATTTTTATCAGTCGGCTATGCGTTAAATATGCGGTGTCGTCTACAGAAACATTTGAATCCATATTTCTTAGTTGGGTTCGCGTACACACGTTTTCGATCACTATGAGAGAACCAAAACCAAGAATGCCGTTCCAAAATCAAATTTATTATTCGGCTAAGATTGGGAATAGTAGTAACAAGTCAAAACACCGTGATTTCGACATGCACATGTTTGCTAACGATCAGAATCGCATTGAGCCACAAATTCGCTTTTTATTTATATTTCCAACTTGTTATGTTTCTTTTTTTTAACGAACTTTTCTGTTTCACATCCAGCGTCATTCACACACATACACCATATGCCATAATATTTGCACGAATCGTCTAGTTTTAGCACACAAATCTGTTAATTATACACAGTTTTGACGGCTTTATGCTTGTGTTTGATGAATAAATTCTGCTGATCATTTGGTACGATAAACAATTTTTTTCGGTTTCTGATCCGTGTGTGAAAATAACAGACTTTTTGCCAGAGAAAAAAAATTCTGCACAATTCTTTTGAAAATCCACTGTACGCAATTCACTCAAAATTAGCACCACAAATGATTCGAACCTTTCTTTTTTTTTGCCTTCTTGTTGTTTATGAGCAATTGTTGGTTTCGTTCTTTTTCCTTTCCTTTCGTTTACATTTCGGACCAAGAGATATCGATTTTAAGAAATCCTGTTTTTGTGTGCAAAAAGCCAAGCGAATTGTTTTACTCTGAAAGTACCATTGACTGACAATCCAAGTTTTATTGTTTTCTCAGAATCAACAGCACACCTGTGTAGATTGCACCTTTTTGTTGCTTGCTCTCATTCAACACAGATCACCACTCGACGAATCACACACACTTTTATTTTTCTTTCTACCGAAATTATTCAAATTAGCCATAAAAATATCAAATAAATTTTGGCTTTATTGCACGATTGTTTTGTCAAGAATAAATTTCATGTTTTTTTTCCCTCTCCCAACGAAAGACGAATGATCTTAATCCATTCGGTCGACACAACGCACAAATGACGTACCGTTTGGTACAGCATTCAATTCAATACTAACTACACAAACATTTCTGGTAAACGTTGAATGGTTCTACTTCATTCACTCTACCTATACACACATGTGCTGCTGCTGCTGCTGCTGCTTGCTGTTGCTGCGATCCACACTGCAGCTATAACATCTACAGTACATTCCGTTAAAGACTGTGACTCTGCGGATATGTGTGTAAATAGCATTCGCTTGCGACTGTGTGTGACTGCGAGCGCGAACCGGTTTTTCTTCTTTCAGCCGTACGTTTAACTTGTTAGCATATATTGTTTGTTTATTCCCATCCATAGTTCCGATGACAGACACGGAGCGGTGTTGTGTAGTGACGCATGAAAATTGAATAGATATTGACGGTGAGAGCCATCAAGTGGTGCATAGAGAAATTATTTTGTACATTTGTTTTAACACCTCTTGTTTCATGAGTAAACTGACTTTCTTCAAGAGCTGCCTCTAGACAAAAAATGAGTCGAAATCATTTCGAATATTTAAATAGTACAGATTGGATTCACGATTTGATTTACGGTGGTTAAATTTAGCAGTCACTGATTTTAGTTGTCAAAATAATCAAATAATGACGAAACGTTTACCTTTCCTTCGTTCCATGAATACAATTTAATTCGAAAAGAAGTTTTTTGATTCATTTCGAGCTCCAATAAAATAGTTTTCTTCCATTATTGACTAAAATGGCTATTCAATTTGAGCATTACTCAATTCTATTTACCATATCAGCAACAATTGATGTCTCGTTTCATGTAAAACATCCTAAGTTTAACATGTGTGAATTTCGGTTGACAAGCTAAAGCTTTATTCGTTATTGTTGTTGCTTTTTTGACATAACGTGGTGCAGAAGAATCGGTTTAAGTTTCAACGGCTGTTCAACCTTCAATGAAGGTCCTTCATTAACGTTTATACTTCAGTGACAAGACGGATTTAATCAAATAAATAGCGATGAAAGAAGAAAGGGTGTGATGAAGCCAAATAACAACGTAGAGTAACGTTTACTTTGATCAAAAGTGACTCTATCACATTGGCGAGATTGAATCGTGTCGCAAATCAAGACTTTTGCAAAATGACTTTTTTTTCCAAATCAAACTTGTCAAAAATTGATGGTGAGTCTGAGCAGCTGTGGAAGTATTGAATTGAAAATTTGGTGATGAGTCACTTGTACTTGGGCAATTTATTTTCCTGACGTGCCATTTCGACCATGCAAAGGTGCAATGGTACTCCACATCAATTGCATTAAGAAATCTTTGTCAACTGAAATAAAAAGCAACTGCATCATTGTTTTTATGCGTTGAGTTCCGTTCCGGAGACAAGCATAGAATTGATGCCATCAATCACTCTCTCCTTTCTTACCCAATTCGACGTTCCCTCAAAATCAAACTACCAACAACAAATTTTTCGTAGAGAATTCCAAATTTCAGCGTTGATTTTGATTAGCCTCACACAAATGAAGTAAAAAAAAACACTTTCAAATAAATGTTGAACACTGTGGTTTAGTTCGGTACTTTTTGCTTGTTTTATTTTTTTGTTTCCATTTTCAAAAAGAAGTAACGTAGTTCCTCTTAATGTCTATTGTGTTTAGAAGAAGAAACCGAGGATTTTGCCTCCGAGATGTTTTCTACGGGCTTCTTCGTGATCCATAATACCGCCACTTGTGGTCAACACAACGTAACTAAAAATGAGAGAAGAACAAAAGCGAAAATTAGTCAACATGGATATGGCATAAATTGAGGTTAGGTCTATTTTATTGAACACTTTTCCAGATTTCATTTTTGTTGACCAGAAATTGTGTCAAGAATCATGTAAACTCATTTGAACCCAATTGGCTCAGTCCAAATGGGAAATCATACGGGATGCACTATGTGCGAAAACTCACCCGAATTGACGTGATGGCAAAAGGTTGTTTGTCCATTTTTCGATGTCATTGATTGGAACATCGAAACGCGGTGAGATGACACCGCATTTGTTGAGGCGGCCAGTTAGATTGACGACTACTTTACCGGAACGATGGTCGTCAACGATTTCGAATTCGCCGATGTAACCATGCTTCATCATGACCGTCAAGAATTTGATGATGACTTTTGAGCATGGGCGCAACAAAACTTGACGTTTGCCACGCTTTTCAGCATTGTTGATGCACTTCAAGGCATCGGCCAAAACATTCATGCGAACCATTGTGTCTAAATTGAAGAGGGCGAAAATTGGAATGGAATTGATAAGTCACTTGATTTTAAAGGTCTGGTACAAATGTATAAACGTGCTAATGCCTGTCAAATGATTTTGGGTGGTAATCATTCGAACGCTGACATTGCACCGAAAACACTATCATGTTTTCGCTTTTTGTAACAATTCGAATACACAAATCATATATGCTTTAAGTGAACACGCGTTGACTTTAAATTACACTTTATTTCATTCAGAAAAAATCGCAATGTTAAACCGGACACATAGTACACGAAGTATGTAGCTGTCAATGGCCTCGCAAGTACCATCGACATTCACCGCTTCATCACTTTAATCAAATTTTTCGGAAAAATCTCGATAAAATTGCGAAAAACGTTTAGGACGAAACATTTACACAGCATTTTCCGAATGTTTTCCACCAAAATATCGTATTTTTTGTCACCGATGAATGAAAATTACCTTTGATTTAAAATTGTATCTAGCGGACCGCAAACATACAGCGATAGAGACCGTACATAAAAGAAGGAAGTCGATGTCGGTTTTTAGCATTAAGCATGATTCGGAGCTGTCACAGGTGTCAGCGCCGCCATACAGATGAGCAACACACTGAAGCTGTACTACACCACCAGCACCATCTATCGTCAAAATGACTGACTGGCGCTCAATCCCATTTCCAACTGATTCGAATATTGTTCTTCATGTGTGTTCTATTTATTTTATCAATTGTTTCGCGGTTTTGCTAATATTTCTTCCACCTACTACAATCGGCGTCAGTACAGCTGAATCGTTCTTCATTCGATCGTACATTCACATGCAACGAAATTATTACGTGGTGCGTTGTCATATTTTCAAACAAAATTATAAATTCTCATGCCTGAAAACAATTAAACTCTGCATATTTATTTTGTTTTCTACATTTCGTTCCTATCTCTCTATTATTCGTTGATTGAAGCGTACACGGCGTGTGTGTATGTGTGTACCGTGCGCGTGTGTAATTTATTGTTGTGAAAATTATATAGGGCCGTTCATATGTGCAAATAGAGAATCATTTGAAGCAAAAAAAGAACATCACAAATGGTAAAATCGCGTTGAAAATACACCGTTGTGAGAACGTTTTTTTCTTCACTTCAGTGCTGAAATTACGAAAGAATCCCATTCGGATCGTTGATGAATTGTTCTGTTCGTCATTTTCCAAATGACGGTTGCAAGCGACAGAGTTTTCAACAAATAGCGCCAATTTATGAGCTGTTATCGCAGAAAATGAGTTTAAAGAGTTTAACGACCCCTTTCTAATGTTCTCTTTTCTCTCAGTTATAATTCCTGGGAGTGGATATCAGATTCAAGAAATGTGAACTCAAGCCAGTCAGTTGTCATGGGCTTGTCGCCAACAGCGTCATAAGCGATTTGTCAAGTATAACCATTTCTTTGACACAGAGAAAGAGAAAAGAACGAATTCTTTGTTTCCACGATTCAATGCCCGGCGCACCTCAGAACAACAGCGGCAAAAATTTTTCACATCATTCATTTTACTGCGCTTTGTTTTTCACAATCCGAATCGCCAATGTTAATCATTCATTTCATTTCGATTGTCACTAAAGAACCACGGCACAAATATGCCGGTAAGATATAAATTTTTTTCGACTCAGACACGTAAACTACTATTTTTATGGCAGCGCACACAAATATTCCGGTTCAATAATAAACTGTATTGAGCTGTCACGCGATTCTACAATGAAATTTAAAGGAAACAAATTATCATGAACTTTTTACATGAAGCGATGATTTTTAGTAGTTGAAAGACATGTGGGCAACTTTAGAAAAATCCAATTCCATTCAGAATCATATCAAAATATCTAATGCTATCGATTTGAACGCTTGATAGAAATTCCATGGGCAATTAAAATGGAAATGAGAACAAGTCGGACGCTGTTTGATGGGAACAGCTGCTGTTCAGAAGGTAATCATTATAATGTTGGGCTTTACTTGATTCGAAATTATTCAACAGATTGACTTTGGCTTTGTCCAAGCGATGAAATGGAAAGACGGAAAACTATACACATACACACCGCGACTGAAATCAATATGACGACCAATGAGAGCTTACAAATGCGCTTATTTATACGTTTATTCACTCCGGTTCGAATGTTAATATTTGGCCTTTGCCGTGTGGGTTGATTAATATCCAATGGAGTTCGACGAGTGTCGCATTTACCACGAAACTAATAGATTGTAAGCAGGCACCGTTTGTAGGCAACGTTCTGGCATTGCGTGCTTCGATATTATGTCACCGCTAAGGTATTCTCGTCGTTTTTTCGTTTAAGTGTTAATGAAAAACTGCGACCAACAAAACCATTCGACCGCAGTCTTGCACTTGACAACGGTGTTTAGTGAAAAGGTCTTTTTTTCTTTCGTGACCATTGAACACCATGGTTTTATTTTCTCCGTTTTCATTTTTGTTCATTCGATTTCATTTCATTTCCATATGATTTCGATATAATTTCCATAATTGATTGTCCAACCGAAGCGGAAAAGATACGGAGTTCCATTTGTTTATGACCGTCGTGCATATGTTAACATATCCATCAAGTAAATGATAATTTCTCTCTGCTGTGCGAATGGCACCTGAGCAACAAGAACGATCCGTTCGGTTTGGTCGTGCGGGGTTTGTATTTTTCAACTGCATTCTAGCTCATATTCAAATTTATAATTGTTTATGGCCTGGTGCTACGCTTGATTTGACGAGAATAGTCACATGAAACGATTTTCTTTTTATCGATAAACGAATAAACAAATACTCAACCCAAAAATACACGAGAAACAACGTCGAAATCAACGATGATAAAAGAGAAAATTACATACAACAACTTTATTTATAAATTTAGCTCTTTCTTTCGTTTTTTTTTTCTCTTCTTTCTCCGTCGTTTGTGTGTCGCACAAGCATAAAAGATTCGAAGCGATGAACATTCACGGCGAGTACGTTGATAACTTATGGCTATTCAAGGTGTAGAATGAAACTAAAGCGATTTACGGTAATATTTTTCGTGAAAAGAGAAACGTTTTCGAATTCGTGCGAGTTTTTTTCTCTGTGGTGCTGGTGTGGTTGTTGTTTATTTTCTTGTTTGTTGATATTTGGCTTCGGTATGCATTGCGATGAGACGAAGTGCATCTGTGACTGCGTCTACTACACACATAGTGTGTGCGCGTCGTTGTCGTCGTTGCTGCCAAACGCCGTCGAACGCGATAAATCGATACGCTCGCTAGAGTCGTGGTTTCAGGCAAACCGATACACACAGTTGAGGTGATACACCGTACGAACGATGTAACGACTTAGTCGGCGACCGAGCTCTCTCCAAACCGAATTTCATTCAGTCGAACATTCGCGTCCGATACGGCAGCAACAAGTTGCTCTCTCACTCAACCACAATTGTGTCTCATCATTTTTTTCTCGTCGGTTTCTTTTCAAATTTATCGCCGTTCTTTTCCATTGCGGTTCTGTATTTGAACATTGTATTTCATGAAAAATTGTGTGTGTCGGTAGACAAAAAAGGTGTTTTCGCGCTCATAAATAAATACAATTATTTTGAGCTATTTGTGTGGAGTGTGTTTCTCTGGTAAGAGAAAGAAGAGAAAAAACGGTTTTTGACGAGCGCAGTGCACGTTCAATTGTCAGAACATTTCGAAACACTTAAATATTTGGAATATTAATAACATTACGACAAAAACACGGTTATCTTTAGGTGAAATCTCATAAAATACAGAGTAAAAAACAGTAAAGTTTTGTGTTACAAAGCGAATTTTATTTGACAAACGGAAAACAGATAGCAGAAAATGATGTCAGAAACTGTCGTAACAGTCGAATCAGGCAATCGGAATAATGCCCAAGCACCACCAAAACCAGCCGGACCACAACAATCATCCGCTGGACCATTGAGTTGGATCACATTCAACACAGTTTATTTCCAATCGGTGCCCGGACTCCTGAAACTGATTCAATTGGTAAGTGGAACGAAGCGAGAGAAAAAAAATGAGACAGTATGTCGATTGTTTTGATTGAACGTCGATTTTGTTCATTGCAATGCATTTGACTTCTCAGATACACGTCAAACTAGCAGATATTTATTAGTTCAGTGATTCGTAGAAAATTAAACCACAGAAATTAATATGCAATTCAAGATCATTTCAAAGTGTCTTTTAATTTGCTCAGCAAATCGATGCGTTAGCTCCGAATGAGAAACACATTCCATATCCACATGTGTTGTCTGTATTGGGTTCAATGTAAGTTATTAGTTGTGTCCTTCCCCAATTTACTTCGTCACAAATCCATTAAGTGGCTTTTGAAAAATCGACAAAAAAATCTATTTCCACCTTAAGTTATCACCTCAACGTCAATAATTCACCGAGTTTCTTACGGATATACCCAATAAATGCCAAATAGAATTTTCATAAATCACACATACACGGCGAATGACATTTTTCTAGAAGTGAACTTGGGCGTATGCCGTTTGATCATTCGTTCGTGTTATTTATAAATTGACATGAAGCTGAAAGACGAAGCGCAAAATGTATCCAAAACATCAATTTACATATATCCCCAATTCTATACGATTATTTCGATATAAATATTCGTTAATGTGAGTGTCGTCGTCGTCATCGTCATCGGCGGAGACGGCGTCGGTGTTCGAGACAAACACACAAATTAACTGACTTTTGCACCGCAAAACAAAACATTCAAACTCAAATAACAAGTGAGTGTTTTTTTGCAAAATCGTCGGCCGTTCAAAAGCCATTCGTGCACGGTATTGATGTCGCATTCACAACGCATTAAAGTGCATGTACACAATCCAACTGTTATTGCCTACTGCTTACTGCTCACTTTCGATGATTGGTCTGATGTACATTTTTGGATTGATGCCTTTAATAAGTTGCGCTGGCGCGATTTTGTTGTTGTTTGAAGCTTCAATGACTTTTGGAAAAATTGTGTACATCCCATTCAACTGTTGTTTTGGCATACATATAGTAGTCGGTGGCAGTGCTGGCCTCGAGAATGAGATTTGGAAAACGAAAATAGATTGTTATTTCGGGTTAATTAAGGCATGTTTTGTTTGATCAGCACGAGCTGTGAAGAAAATGAGCCACTTTTATTAGCATATATACATATCTCTCAGCCCAACGCAACATATGGCTGCTTGCGTAAAATTTCACTTTCAGATAATTAAATTAGCACAGGTTTTCCATCAACAACATAGAAAAAAATCGCTCAATTTTTGATTTTTCAAGAAAAAAAAAATGAAAGAAAACCATTTGGCACACATTTTCCGTTGATTAATCGCACATTATGAGTGAATTAAAGCGAAATGAATGTGATGTTTTGATTGTTTGGATTTGAATTTTTTTTTTTCACGAGACAGTGCTCTTCGATTGCGTAATGCATTACAGTTGACGTTATGAGTCGTTTCATCAATGCGAACCTCGCTGAAATATTTTGACACATTATGCTTTCGGGATGCTGAGTCGTATGCGTGTATGTGCGCGAGCTTGCTCACACTCTCAACAAGCGAACGTCGAAATCATATGCAAAAATATCTGAATGAGACACACATTTTTTGTTCGAGATGTAGGCGAACCAGATTTCTATATGTTGGAAGTCGTTCGAATGAAATTGAAATTGATTCGAAAGAGCCGTTTGTCGCCCGACGAGCAGCAAGAAGTGGAAAAAAACACGATCCCGCGCATTTTTCGAATATAAATATGCGCATACAATTGTGAGCGTTGTTTACGATTTGTTGGCGCGAATATAGGATGTAGCGTTTTGTTGACCAAACCGAAACTGGGGAACAAGTGAAACTTGATTCTATTGACAATAATTAGATAATGTGTTACCGCAGTTTAGAGGCACTCGTTTGATTGTGTGCGAGTGCACAAACCGTTTATATACTGTTTTTATTTCTGATTTAATTAACGAGAAACGGATGAGCAAGTGAGATAGAATTCAAATCCAATGAGGGGAGAAAACAACCAGTTTAAATCAATGGGATTGGTTGCGGTGTCGGTCTCGTACGACGAGACTCTCGTAGCCAGCTCAGACAAAGCATTCACAGCATGATAAACCTTCTTTTTAACCTCTTTTAATTATTTGCTTCATTGTTTGCATTGTGCTTTTTTGTTCGTACGCTGCTGCCTACATAATCAGCACCAGCTGGCACCGCTACACGCTTTCGAATCCACTGTGTTAACACTAATGTTATCAATTATGCATCTCGAAACTGAAAATAATATTTCATTGAAAAGTATATCGAATTGGATCGTAAAAAAACTTCCTTCTGCTGAAATTATAATAACTGACCTTGATCCGTTTTATAATTGAAATTGAAAATGTTCAAATGGCATTTTCCAACGCGACTCAATATTTTTCCACATTCGTGGAATTTGTACTCGATATGAGGGAAATGATTGGAATACATCGATGTAAAAAATTATGTGCCATTTTACGAAGCACATCGCATGTTGATTCACGTTTTTTCATTAAATATGAATGATCGGCATTGTTCGCCATACAACCACTTCAATTATGTCACTAGTGTACCAATCATCAATGGAAAATTCATTTCAGCGAACAGTCATCATAGGAGTGACAATTTGTCAATAATTAATAGACAAATATCCATTAAAATTGATATTAAAAAACAACAATGTTTGCAGGGCACATTTGTGCTATACTGTGTCGATATAAGCGATAGCGATGGTGTTGACAAATTTGCTGTTAATTTGTATGTGAACACCTTCGATAAAGATAAGCTTCACGTTGGTGCGGTCTCATTCAAAGGGAATTCGTCATCGCATCGTTTTTGCAGACGGTGCAGCCGTCAATGTATTTTCGTTTATGATGCAGAAAAAAAGCCGTTGTTTTCATTCGAATTGCATTTTTGGTGTTGCGCTTCGGGTCGTTGACCTGCATCGCTAACGGTGAGCAGAAAAAAAAAAACCATCAAATCGCATGTTTACGTTCCACTCTTCTTTTTTTGCGAGCCGAGACACATGCACGAAATTTGCATGATCGTTTCTCTCGTCGTCTCGCATTGCATACTTAAATGAAAAGTAAGGGAATCCAAATTAACATGCTATTTTCGCATTCACAAATCTCTTCTCGTTCGGGTGAATGTGTTTTTGAGTCTCGAATACATTTGAAAAAAACGCGCTAGCAATTGCATTCCAAACATTCTCAAAATAATTTTATGCTCACACTCTCCGCATACATATTGCGCATTACGATTCTCAAAACGCATGCCAATCTCTGCTTTGCAAAAATCCATAGCCAACATCAAGATATTGAGCAGCAAGTGCATGACTATGTTGAAATTTATCGGCGCTGTGCTTTTTTTTCGTGGTAAAACAGCGAGAGAACAAGATTTGTTTTTTACTTGATTATGGTCAACGTTTTGACGAAAGGGAAAACTGGCCTAACGACCAATCATTTACACTTAAGCAATCGCATTTGATACGTTTATTTAAATACACATTTGGCCAATTGAGTTTTTTTTTTGGAAACAAAACTGAGCTCAGAGCTGTAGGTGGAAATTAAAATATTGAAATATACCAACAAACGCCCAACAACACTGGCGATTTGATTACTTTTTGCTTGAATGTATCGAATCGTTGCTAATAAATAACGTTAAAGTGTGATTGAAGAAGGCTTCGTGCAGCCGGTTTTCCATGTGCAAATTTCGTTTTTATTGTGCTGGAGATAAAAAAAACACACACACACACACAGAGAAACACAATGTTCATGACAACAATAAAATTTCAGTTCATGTTTAATCGATGCATTTCAATCCATTGGCAATTTTGAGAAATCGCCGTTTGTTTTGGCTGGCAACAGTTTACATTGCAAATGTTTTGATTTACGGCAAATAAACATCCTGCCATTCCTCTGCATGCATTTTGTTTGAGATTCACCGGTATTTTTTTGTTGACGATTCATTTTAATGGCATTGTTGTTTGGATTAAAATAAATCGAATAATTTTGATCGACACAAGTTCGTTAGATACATGTTACAGCTAAACAAATTCAATCGAAGCGGATCAACAATGCCAATCGAAACATCTTCGATTTACCAAACCTGAACGTAATTCGTCACCACAAAAATACACAACAGTTGCATCTATTTTTGTATCGCAATTATTTTACAGCCAAATTCCGTCCGAAATTCGGTCTTGAAACACACGGTTGCGACGAGAAAATACTTTCGAAAATCCATCAATTTTCTAGTGGCACTTGTAAGTGTGTGTGTGTGTGCGCTGTGTCGCATGTAATTACGGTTTAGTGCTAATGGATTCTTTTCAACGTTTAAATAAATAACGAATGTAAGTAAATAAAATGATGTGTTGTGATGTCATTTGTGTTTCGACGCGCTCGCTCGCATACCTCTTATTGCGCACCGAGAAATAAATATATTTTGAGAGCTAAGCGCAGCAGTTGCGATTTTCGCTGGATGTTAATTGAAGTAACAATCTGAAGTCAAGGCTACATTAAATTATGTGTGAATTTCAATCTAATTTTGCTTTGTTTGCCCTCCGTTTCGGCAAATGCCAACGAAAATCGCTACAAGAATCACTCAAACCGATCGACACACACACACTGCAGTTCGGTGAATGTAATTTTGCTTGGGTCGTACCAATACGCGCCAAACAATCAATCATTCTGTGTATAACCTTTTGACTACTTCAATTTTATGACTTTTATCGCGTTGATTGCTATTATTGGACCCGGTAATTGTCCAAAAATATCGTGCGCTCACAACGCCGAAGTAAACAACATATACTAACTAGTGCAAACAAACATACAGTAAGCGCTTGAAAGAAACTCTATTTTGAATTACGCAGAATAGCAAATATTGTGTAGGTGCTGCTTAAGTTTTCTATGTTTTTAGATGATTATGATCGAAGCAACTATGCTTCGGTTTTTAGCCACAAATGCAATAACATTTATGTTGAAAATCGAGCGCTTGGCGAGTGCATTTTTACGGAATTGGTAATTTATAGTTACGTTACACTACCGTGAACAACATCCATATCAATTCGACGCTAACGAACAAATAACTCTATTTTGCGAATAACACTCTTGCCTTCGCTCTCTTGTTTGCTCCTGCTCGCTCTCGTTCGCTCTCACTCGCTCTCTCGCACAAACTGAAGAAATTCCCAATTAAAAATACTACAAAATAAACACATTTTCTGTGTGTTGCGTGAAGTGATGTGCTGTTTCGCTGACGTAAAACTACTTAAAACGGGTGTAAAAATAAAGCGACTGCTGCTGAAAGAGGAAGAGAGAGAAAGAGAGAGAGAGAGAGAGAGAGATCTCGAGATCGGAACTGCGCTAGCATCATTTGAATCATTTCTCAAATTAAACAATCGATTAGCGAATCGATTTAAAAGGTTTTAAAACAAAAGTGTTATTGCATTTGCTAATTTTAGCTGCACGCTTTTCATTTGCCCGAGAAAGATGAGCTCGGATTCGCGGATAAAATCGACATAAATCACAGGAAAATTCATTAGAAACCCCACAAATAGATTCACGTATAAAAATTTCGAAGAATCGGAAAATCATGGTGTTCATGATCGAACAATTGTCTGTTTAATATTTATGGCGTTCACTTTGCTGAGCAATCGAAGAAAAAGGCAGTTGCTGTGATTCGATAATATACGTGACTATCAGACGGAAAGCAAGTATAGGCTCTTTGTGAATTACAACGAACAGAGAGCAAGAGAAAAAAAATGTAAACAAACAGCGTTGTTGGAGTGCATTGTTCGGGCGAGAAATCGTGAAACTGTTGAAGAGAGAGAGAGAGGGAGAGAAAAAAAAAATTTCGATGACCTACTCCAATGAATGGAAGTAGCAAAACAAAAAGCAAATTTCTGCGTCATGCATCAGAACAAGAAGAAAACATAATCCATGGCATATTCAATTTCATGTTGCCAATTGTTCCAAGTCGTTCGTTTTTAATTCTTTTGACTTTACTATTGGCTGCTGATTTTTAATCCACGCACCGCGTTTTTTCTAGTTCTTTCTTTTTATTCGGCTTTGCTGTACGTTGGTTTGAATTTCAATTCGAGAGTAATGGACTTTGTAACAATTTTATGATTATGTCTTACCACCCATAACAATGTGTGTTTTTGAGTGCATACGTGAGCAAAGCGAATCTCGCATGAATTAATTAATTTCCATATCGTTTGCTTGTCAATCTTGACAATTTCTTCTTTTTTGTTTCGTTTGTCGTTGTTACATTTTCCGCTTAGATGACTTATTCTCGCGAAAGACCATTTCGCAAGCTCATCACATGCTTCGCAATGATGGATTGATTGCATGCGGATACGCGGCCAAGCCTTAAATGGTGTGACAATCTCTTTTCCTGTGTGCAGTAACACGTCAAACACCACAATGAATCCAAAGCAGAAACACAAATTTCATATTTGATTCTATTCTCTTGACACTCATTTGTCAGAGATGTCTTTATTTACTTGTTTTCATAACCGTAACGAATGGATGGGTTCAAACAGAAAATGAAGCCACAATTTCTCAGTTTTTGGAACGAACATCATGAATTTCAATAAAATTGGATTAAAAATAAGGCCAAAGTTTTTTTTTAAACAAAAGAAATCCACATAATTTGTATTATGATTATCGTTCGAGAGGAAATTGAATGATTTGCATACAAGCAGCCGGAGGAAGTGTGGAAAAAGTGCCTGGGAAAAACTTGGCTAGAGTCAACAACGAGAGAGCCACAATTCGAAAGCACATACGATGTTCGATGGAAAAATTGCCAGGGTTCTACTCGATAATAACAGCACACGTCAATTGCGTACTACGGCCATATCTCGACTGTCGAGCGTTGAACGGATAAATATATCCATCGTAACATTCATAAATTGGCTTTTTATTGCACTTTCACTAGATGAAGCCATTACGGTACATATTTAATTTTGCACAAATCTCTATCATCACGATGCACTGAATACGCCAAGCCTAAACTGCACAGAGGAAGAAAAACCGAAACCAAATTGCAACTTAAAGAGCACCACATTTTAACGAACGTTCTCAACAATCTTGACCAAAACAGAAAAATAGCCTCGCAAATCCATCGCAAACATTCACATGGTCCACAGTGGCAAGTGTGAAAAACTCACGAAATTATAATGATCGTTCGCTAAGGTTGAAAGCTCATAGCAAAAGCAAAAAAGCAGATTTTATAGTACAAAGAGATATGGCGTCATTAAACAAGTTATTGGAACATTCCGACGACTTTCATCTTTTCTAGACAACAATTTATGAACGAGCGAACAAGCCAACGTGCACACCATACTCGCAGAGTGTTCGTGCAGAAAGCTGTTGCTTTGACATGTTTTGATGGACAAATACGATAAAAAGAAAAATACAGTTGTTTCTATGTCAATGAAAAAAAAACAGCGATGCAATTATAAAATCACAAACAATCAGCCCGGTTGGTGGCGAGCTAATCAGCGGTTTTTGCCCGACTTTAGCGGTCATTTATTTCACTTTGGGCGACTTTATTGACTATTGTATTTCTTTTTATTTCTTTTCTGCGTTTTGTTTTCTTTACCATAAAAATCTAGACATTTCTCTTTCGGTGGCAAAACCGGTTCCTAGCACACACTCCTTACACACATTAAAAAAATGTGTGTCTTTCTAATTTCGTCGCAAAATGAACAAAGCCTTAAAAAAAAGAAGGGAATCGTCACTTGAACAACATTTGCCTTAATTTAAGCTGAATTACAAACGACCGTTTTCTTCTTTTCATGCGGCCATTTTTTTTCTTATCAAAATTCGAAATCACGTTTCATTTAATCCAACCAAATCATTTGGCGCTTTTTTTCTCTCACACCATAATTTTGAAGTCACTTTTTTCACTTTCTTCGCCCAAGATCACGATCAACATTTTAATCATGCGGCCAATTTTTGCTATCAGGCGAACATATAATAAATTCGATCAAGATTGAAGTACATAATTTTTGGATGGCTTGAGTACACATTCTTAGGCTGTTGTTTACATTTCGGAAGCAACACATGTTTTTGTACTAGAAAATTATACATCGCAGCAGTAGCGGGAACAAATGATAAATGAAAGAATTTTTCTAGAAATTTTTAATTTTGGGAACATTGTCTGGGTATGTAGAATGCCAGAGTAAATAGTTTAGACAAAGGCACATTTTGATAAGATAACATTTTATGACCAAGAGTTCTGTAACTTTCCTTATCTTGATTTTATTCTGTACCTGAGAATGTTCATTCTCCGCGGTTATTTTTGAATATTAGTCACATTGTTTTTACTTGTGAATAAATTAGTCATTCCGCAATCAATTTTTTCCGTACAAAAAAACGTGATGCAATTTTAAGAAGTATGGAAAATTTGATCAAAACAAAAAGGTAATTTACTACGTCACAACGATTTGAATGACGGACCGTGTGCATTTTCAGGCAATTACCTCACTCAAAATTCTTTAGGTTCCATTTACGGTCATTTATATTTGTTGGATCACAAGTTTCTACTGTGTTAGATAGCCTCATTTTAGAGCCAGACAAAATCAATATACATACGGGACAAGAGTGGAACAATCAAAAGCAGTTGTGAATGAATTCGGTGTTAATGTCTATATCGAATATAATTGAACAAATAGTCGTTCTCTTCCCGCTTCGCAGCCAATCTGTGGGTGTTCTTGACAAAATCCAATTTTTGCACAATCCACCCAATATGGCATATAAATCTACGTCATCGATTACATCATTCTCAATAAAAATGTATTAAACAAAATCTGAATGAAACCATTTTCACTCTTCTCGAAAGCATTGGCTCTTCTCTCGTTTCTATGTGCGAGTGTTTTTTTCCCGTGAGGCTACACAATAGGAAAACATAGGCCATTTATTTATTCACTAACCAACCCAAAAGCTCATGTCAAATACTAATAAATGTGTTATAAATTACAGGTTTTGGGCATAATTTGTATGTCATTGGCATCGCCGGCTGTGATTGCATCGACACATTGGTTCTTGTTTGTCGTTGTAACCGCGTTCATCGCCACGCTACTCTGGGTCGCCATCTACTTTTTGGGCATTCGTGAGGTTCTCAATTTATCGGTCAATTGGATATTAACGGTAAGTGTGTAATTTCAACCCGAAACAACCGAAAAGAACGAAAGAAAGAGAAAAAAATCAATTGAGGCTATCCAAATACAGAATAAAAGGCGATTTTCTCCATTTCATTGCGTCTGTTTGAAATTGAAACGGCTCAAGAGAAAAGAAAATCTACTTTTATTGAAATATTTACATATCTATGTTCGAAAACATGGTAAATACGTTGTCATTTTACTGTGTATGCCATGCGACGTACGCATTGAAATATTCACTGGTTGGCTTGAAATCGATAATTTCAAAATGAATGCGCGTACGAGCTCGGTTTTCTTATGGTTTTTTCATGAATCAGAGCAAAACGCTATCAAATATGCATTGCATCAATATATGTTTTTTTTTCTATCAATTTGTACCTTGATTCAATCAAAATCTGTATGACTTGGCATTTTCTCGCATTGACTTCGCGTCAATTCAAAGATTAACTTATTTCCATCATGAAATCGTTTAGATCCTATTAGATCTATTGAATTCCACTCAATTTATATTTTATGCGTGCGTTTCACGATGAATTTAAATTAGATTGATACACGTCGCCTTTTCGTTGCCACTTTCGAATTCTAAACAAATTCCACCATTCAATTGCGTTTAGTATTTTTACCATAAATTTTCGCCTCAAGAATTAACCACAATTGATTTGACACTTTTTCAACGTGGCGGCAATTGTTTGTCACGTAATTGTGTTAGTTCGATTGGTCTCTCGATTCCCGTTTCAAATACTCATATGTCATCTGTTTCGTTTCACAGGAGCTTATTAACACTGGTATTTTTACCATTGGTTATGCCATCACCACATTGTTCCAATTGATAAACTGGGTTAGCGTTAATTACTACGGACGTGCATCGAATATTACAGCAGCCGTAAGTTTTATTATACATTTTTAAATATTCACTCTTGCTAAATCGCTCGTAATTTTCTGTCTCTCTCTTTCTATTCTCTTCTCATAGGTTTTCGGTTTGTTCAACACAATCGCATACGCAGCTTCAACATACTTCTTATTCTTGGAACACAAAGCCGGCGCAACGCACTAAATATACAACTAGAACAAGACTCTATCTCTTTATACAAGATCACAAATCAACAACAGCAACAAAAAAACCGACAAATTCGTTAAGCGGTTTTAATTTTTGTTTCCTTCTTCATTTTATATTCATTTAAAAATAGAGAAAAAAAAACATTTGAATAAAAAAACAACAACAAACAAATCAAAAGAGAGAATAAAGCAACAACAACAATTAACAAAAAATGAATTATTAATGTAACGCAAGACGAATTATCTATTTGGCTTAAGTCTTTAGACGAAATTGTCGCAAATCAAATCACAATTTAAGTAATTTTTTTTTAATATTATAATGAATAAATGTACGTTTTAAGTGTGTAATAAATGTTGTAGTTTGTCCACAAGAAAAATGATTAAAAACTGTTTTTTTTGGTCCAACGATTTGAACTGAACATTGAATTTCATTCAAAAGATATTGCCTTATTTCAGCCAGCCAGCCAGTCAGTCAGCGCCATCTATGGTATGAATTGGTCTGAGTGAATGGGTGAGTTGCTCAATTGGTTTTAGTTTCGATACGCACCACATCACCGTGAAATGTCAGTGTCATGGAGAAAATAAACAAAAGAATAGCAAGTTGATCTCTGGTTGCAATCAATGAATTGTTTTAGAGCCAAAAAGAAATGTATTATGAGTTAGTGTTTGTGTTAATTATATCAATCGTTGGCGATTCGTTCGCATCACAACAACAAAAAGACAGAGAATTAAACACACCGCCACGGGATTCGGATTGGAATCCACTTTCGCCACTTGTGAAATGTTCATTTGTTCCAATAGGTAAGACAATATACAGACTCGTGTTGTAAAAATCAAAGTTATCAGCAAATGTTCAAGGTTCAACTGCCCCCTCTGCGCTGTATTCCGGCAAATTCTTGAATATGAGATTTCGTTTTCGTAATGCTTGCATATGACCTTATTCGAAGAAATAAATCTGTTGAACATTGATATCGAATAATGTTTGTGTTGTTGATCGAACAGCAGAACAGTAGAGTACCAGAACAATGGCGATTTTTGCTACGCACTCTGGTGTTCTAACAGAATTATTTTCAAAATCATTACAATTTCCAACCATTACTTCATATTTCAGAGTTTCTGGAGTGCAAAGAACCAGTCGATCACAAGGGCAACAAAACGGCACGCGATGAATTAGGTCATGGTTGCTTGAAATTTGGCGGCGCTAATTATCATGATGTTGAGAAAACCAAAGTCCCATGCACTGTACTGCCCGACATCGAATGCTATGGCCCAAAAACGTTCTTCCGTGACGGTGTACCTTGTATTAAGTACACCGAACACTACTTTGTAACCACACTGCTGTACAGCATTCTACTGGGATTTCTGGGCATGGATCGATTTTGTCTGGGACAAACGGGCACAGCCGTCGGAAAACTACTCACACTCGGCGGTTTGGGCATCTGGTGGATCATCGACGTTATTTTACTTGTGACAAACAACCTGTTACCTGAAGACGGCAGCAATTGGAACACACACGTTTAGCTAATGATTTATTGAATATTTAACAACTTGCCGCTTTTAAATGATATTGTATAAACTTAAGATTAGGGCATCGTTTAATAAAGACTGAAGTGAAATCAATTTATCAAGAGGAATCAAATGAGGTTTGTTTTTCGTATTAACTTTTCTTTTTGAAAAAATTCCATTGAGCTTGTTTGAGTTTTTTTTCAGACAAATTAAGCATTGTTCAAGAACAACGTGACATTGCTTTCTAATTGAATTTACAAAAATAATAAGAATCAGAAAAGGAAGGATAAAAATTACTGCTAAAGAAAAAACAATTCACAAGTTGATTGCACAATTTTTTGCAGTATCGATTTCCTGAAACTTCTTTTTTTGTCTCTTCTACGGTATTAAATCATCAAAAAGTATATACTATCATTTGATGTTAAAACAATTAAATGCAATTGATTCCAATGAAATGAACTTGTTACGATTCTATTATTATCTAATTGCTACTTCGATTCAATTAATTCCTAAACGAGATCATCACAAAGCAATTGAATAATTTGTATTAAATATTATTTCATTATTTGAATTATTGATACAAGAATCCATATTTGGTTACACTGTGAGCATATTGAAGCTGATGACAAATTCAGATAGTCGCAATTATTATGATTGACATTTACGCTGTGTACGTTTACACATGTAATTAAAATGGAGCTCATTAATTAACATTGGCCATAGAATAATAATGATGGTAAGTGGGTCTGCGTCGACAAGTTATTCAAATGCATATTCCAAAACCGAATACAGGAAATGCACATTGCACCTAAAATAACGAAATAATTATGCAACACAAATAAAGCACTCAGTTTTAATTCGTGAATATTATTTATTAGAAATTAACGAATCAATTTTGAACATATTTAATCCTATGCGTTGAGACATGATTTTAGTAAATTGTGTGTTGAAAACATTTTTATGATCAGCGGCAAACTACTTGGCATGACAAGTCTGTGCAACTGGGAGAGAGAGAAAATATAGAAAAATTAGAATTTCAATGTACAAAGAAAAATTCGATTCCACACCGAACTTTTTTTTGAATTGGCAAAAAAAAAAGTTCTATTTACCTACAAATGTAGCGCCCATTTCAATAAGTCACTTTCCATTTTTCCTCGGTCAATACTTCGGTTCGAACTCCTGCTTTGACTGTTTGGGTACGGGTGTAGGAATACGATGGCTAATGACAAAAAATTGGGAGTAAAATTGGAAATCAACAAAAATGACAAAGATTCGTATAAATTGTATTAAAAATGTGCATCAGTATATTTCATACATTTTTAATGGAATTTTGGTGGATTTTTGCTTATTGTTGAATAAAAAAAAAACGATTTTTTGAATGATCAAAGTCTGATTTTCTTTTTGCAACATGCTAAAATTCAATGCTTGAAGACAAAATGTTTACTTACATCACCCTTGATATAATACGGTACGCGAACTCCAGCTCTCAACAAACGGCTTCTGGCCAGGCTGTTCAGCACACGGCCAGATTCGGTGACCGTTGTTGTCAATTCACCTTTTTTCGAAACTATAACCATTTTTACACCGAGCGTTCAATTACTGCAGGAGAAAACAACACGAGTATATGAATCGAGGAACAAGTCTTTGTCGCTGCTCGTTGTCTCAACAATTATCCAAAACGTGCGATTCAAGCAGCTTATATAGCTCAGAGCAAAGACTTTGATCCACAGCAACTAGAGCAAAATTGCTATTTAATCGCGTCGGCGGAGGAATACTGACAACCAGCAATTGAATTGATATATTTCAATATATTGCGTCATTCACATTTGTAATAACGTAGTTCAACATTAATACACGGAAAGAATTCTCGTTGCATAAAGATATTCTATTGACAACTCTATTTATTTGGTAATACTCTCGAATTTTTCGAAATAAATTTTCTTTTGAATTTAAATACACATTTCTTGGTGCATTCAATCAAATGCAAGACTCAACCAGCTTCGAAAATTTCATTATTGTATTTAATTTGATGTTTAAATTGTTTTTGTTCTTGATTTTAATTAAATTCCATAAAAGATTTCAAATATACATATCAACTTGATATGGGTAGTTTGGAGCGAAAATGTAATACGGAAAAGTTGCGCGGAAAAATGTAGTTGATGAATGAGCGGAAAAGGGATAGCTATATAGTAAACTATAGTTAGCAATCTCTTTTCATTTAACATTTTTCCGCGTAACTTTTCTGTATTACATTTTCGATCTAAACTACTCATATGTCATAAAAACCGATATAATAAGATTGAAATAAAGAAAAACAAGTGAAAGTTTTTGACTAAGACAACAAATATAACATCAAAATGTAAATATATCACTGGTGCCGGGGAAAGCGGACAGAACAGAAGAATGCATGCTTTAATTTATTTTCAACACCACTTTTTCAAATAAATGTTCTGTGTAGAAATTCGCTTATCGCGATTATTGACACCGATTAATTATCATGATCCGTATTGTAAGTGGCTTATATACTTTAATCTGCTTAAAAAAAACTCAAGAAAAGTATCCGAATTGAAGTTTATTGAGACAAATAAACCATGAATACTTGAAAGTAAAAAAATCTATTTTTGAAGACTGTTAAGAGATTATAATGAGTAAAAACACATTATGTTTATCTGGTATTTTTCCAAAAGATCCGTTGTCTTATTTATTCAATGTTATTTTGTGATAAAACAATGTTGATTATGATATTGAATGTTCGATTTATGATAAAGGAAGTGTGACATTATTGATTAGATTTAGAACTGGTCCATCTTTATGGAAACATAGCTGAAAAAATGTAAATAAAAGTTATAGAACAATTCAATTACCTAATTACGCATTTTATCCATTTTAGCTTAAAAATATGTTCATTAGTTCTATTTATTCACCTGATTCTCTGGAAAATTTACTGTTTTACATTTTGGACAATTCTTCGGTGTATTTGGAGCTTGGTTGACGTATTGATATTTGCAACAAAATAGTTCTTTAAATTGGGTCCTGCAAATGTAATATGCGTGCCAACGCAAATTTTCCGGATCTGTTCGATTCATTGAAATATCGTCGATGTTTCGAAAATTGTGACAAAACTAAATTGCGTTTTTGAAAATATCACCAATGATTGATTTGGTTCTGGATTTCTCCGATGGACAATAAATGTGCAATTGAATGATTTCGCTTGCATACACTTTTCTCCGTTTGACGTCTTCTATCTGGCACATGCATTTTTGACATTTCTCTCCAATCAATTTATTAAGTATGTGACGCAGCCGTAAACTGAAAATGACCCACCTTAATCAATGCATATGTCCGTTGATGTTAATTTGTCATAAAAACAGATATGATGAGATTGATCTCGTATTAAACTTGGATTGAATAAAATTTATTTTCTCCTTATTATTTTTAAAAAACACACACATTTCGTCTCAGTGAATGTCGCTTTTGAAGCTAATACTGTGACATTTAGATTTAAAAGTTGACACACCTACAAATACCTGTACGGTCTCAGCAATCTCTTGTACGGTCAAATAGTTAGGAAGAACTTGATAATGAAATCGCTAAAAAAATGTCAATCAAAAAATTCGTTACATTTTTGTGTCGATAAATTTGTTTTATTTAAAAAAGAATATTGAAAATAGATTTGTTTTTATATTGCAATTAATTTATCTGGTGTCTTCAAAAAACTCGAAAAAATAAAGATTTCAAGACGAAAAAAAGTATGGAGTATTGAATCAGATTCATATACAAAATAGAAGCCAATATGTCATGGAATAGTAGGTTAACAAAATAGTAGCGTGTAAATAATGTACGAAGCCATGGCAAGATAGTGCAAAATTTGTGCGGGAGATTTTATCATAGAAAAATGTAGAAAATAATCACACATATATTCGTGGTGATATCGATTTCTTTTCTTAATAAGGATAATTGGCACACTCCATCGTATTTTTCTGTTCCGAAAACACGCGAATCAAGAACTCTCCATCTTCGTTCGGTTCATAGGTGGATGGAACAATAAGATAATGGCCTGGAGGTAGCTTAAACCGGCAACTCACCTACAAACGAAATCAAAACATTAGAAAAAAAAATATGATAATTTGAAAATATTTTCTTCACATACTTCACGTAAGTTGATAAATGCTGCTGATCGAGCGACGGATGCATTGTATTTGAAGAAGTTCATTCTAAGTGGTTTATTCATCATGTCACGTTCGGTAATTTTATAAATGGCAAATCCGATAGTCAAACAATCCATGCCCATGTTTCGTCTCGAGCGTCGATTCTTTTGCATCAAAGCAACAAGAAGTGTGCATAGGCCGTCATCATCGTTTTCGTCCGGTTGTTCCAATGTGACAATATACTGTGGATTCTGCCAGAATGTTTCCAAATAATTACGACAACCACCAGCTGATGCACCCTGAACCCATTCACCCTCAAACACAGACATCTCCCATCGTTTTTTCCGTCCACTGATTTGATCTTCGGTCAATGCTGTTGGACACAAGTTACAAATTTCAACGCGATCGAAATATTTCATCCAATCTTGGAAGCTCATCCAAAATTCACCATCATGATCAAAATTCAAGCCAATTCTTTCCTTTTCATCATCCGGTATGAAACGCCATTCTGACGACTTATCACTCCATGGACCATTCCATTCGGCTTCGTTGCCCCATGGATTTCGGATGCGTAACTAATTTAGATGAAAATTCGGTGGTTTTAGACAGAAAAATATTATAAAATTCATTTAATTCAAGTAAGATTCAGTAAGTCTAGCTTACCATTGGTATCTTTCCCCGTTTGTTCGGTGTTGAAATATCCATAAGATCGATTTTTGTAATTGTATACGCATGTCCCTTGATCAAACCCTCACGAGTTTCCGCCTCAAACACGTTTGGATCTGGTTCAATGCTACAAGCCATCATCGAGTTACGTTCATAGCCCTTAAGTAACAGATTGAATAGATTCGGTGGTGCTTCAGCCAAGTCGTACATCTCGGTTACACCTGTAATTTAATTCCAACATAAGAATTGTATCGTTCGTATGTTTTGAAATATTTCAACATAAATATTTTATTCAAAAATTTTACCGCCGGTGAAATCCTCCATAGCCTCGCATGTAGTACCACCTTTCAATGCTTCGTATGACCCATGTAATTTCGCATAGGCTTTCTCAAGCAAAGCGCTCCAAAACTCATTCTCTTCGGTTGAATGCATGTAGAGGAGTTTTCCGCGATAAGTAGGAAGTCGATCATCAATAACAACATCAATCCAACGACCATACTGCCAAAATCTGAAATTAAACTTTTACATCAGTCTTGTGCCAATAAAAGTGTGTATTCAAAATATTTACTTGAAGTGAAAAATCCCAACGTAATTTTCCTCAAAACTTTGATCATCGGGAACGACACGGAAGAACATTCTTGAGTCCTGTGTTAATGAAGCGGTAGCCGCTAATAGCCAACAATCACCCAATTCTCCTTGTTGCACATCAAATCGTGAGAAACCTTCGACGAAAAACTTCGGGTCATCGGCAATCTCGTGTGGCCGCAACCATTCAACACGACGATCCATTCGTCGCGAAAACTGCAGCGATGATTCGGCTGCTGGAAATTCCGGATCTTCGAAAAATAACCCATTCTCCAAGCAATAGTTACGCAAAGTAATAAAATCCTGTGTGCTCCGAGGACCGTCACTTCCTTTTTCTCCCAACTATAATAAATTATGAGTAAAATATGTGTTTTATTCGTTGCCTCATTCAAAAACATGTTTCGAGTCATAAAATTCTAATTAGGAATTAATTGACCAAATTTATTGGTTGGGTTTTTGCTCAATTCGGTTTTTTCACTCACTAAATATGGAGCTCAATGCTAAAAACAAGATTCTTTATCTGTTTTGACTTTATATTCAATCTTGAGTTTAGCTCGCTATATATTTCGGTTGTAATAGCACAACCGCAATACAAGAATGTTGTGTTTCGACTGCGATTGACGTTAATTTGATCTCCAAAAATGTGTTCGGTGCTACAGAAATAGCAACAACAATAACAATTGTCTGGCATTAATCGAAACTTTTGAAATTCTTCGTTTGGTTGATGCGTCAAATAGGATTGCAAATTGGTGCATTGCCACCAATGACCAAAATCAAATGAATGGACATATGAAAACAACAAACTATTGACTCATAGTGAATTTTTCTCTAAATGAGTTTAATAACGCTGGAAATACCGGCTGATAATGCCTATTGTCAGATCATACACTTGCATTTATATACACAATACGCAGGTATATACTATACACATGATTGTATATATATATATTTGATCGTATGAAAGCGCCCACACATATATTTACATATACACTTGTCACGAAGTTTATGATTATTATGTTTTAGCACGAAATTCGGTTATTCATTCGCTTAGAATGTGAACAATTCCACACAAACGCATTTCACAAGTATCTTACCGATGAATATCCAAACGAATATATTGGCATATCTTCATCTGGAACATGGATGGCACGACAAAGAACTTCGATTTGTTTGTTTTCAACTGGACTGTCCTCAGCGGGTTGCGATGAAATGCATGCACCATCTGGTTTGTCTCCGATGGCCCATCCAATGGTTGGTCCTTTTGTAGGGCTGTCTTGCCGCTGTGCATTTGGTATATGGCATGGAATTACGTTTGGAGCGAATCCATACGACAAACTCACTCCATCAACCCGACTATTGTCACGAGCAACATTTGGTAGCGGTGGCATTCCAAATGGACTTGGCACTGATGGAAATCCTGGTGTCACCGTTTTCTGATAGGTATGGGCTTGAGGCTGTGGACGCGGTTGAGTTGGATAGCTAAATGCTGCTGGATTCTGCCAACCTAAAATTAGAATGTGATAATGAGTCATCGTAATTTAATTGAAGTCAATATGTTTTCCTTTCTAATATCGAAATGGAATTTCGTACCTAATCCATTTTGATGATAATTTTTGGGGTATTTTGTAAACGACATTTTTGCTGGAAAGAATATTAGATATTGCCTTCAAATTCAACTATTTAAATTGACAACAATTCTGCGACTCAACAATTTATTTTCGTAGCTGCCTTATGACAACAAACGACTAGACTGAATTTCAAGACTACACTGACAGCTCGATGACATTTCGCTATTTTTATACTCAAACACATACACTCAAATTTCAAGTTGAGTTGAAATGCAAACATTAAATACCAAATAGCGCCAATTTCGACAGGAATCATGAGCAATTTTGTTTTTTTGTTTTTTCTTAACAAATTTGGAAGAAAAAATCTGTTTTTTTCTTCTTAAAATTGTAATCGTAATTTCATAATTTAGGAAATGATCGCCGTTGAATCTTAGGTTGAAATTTTTGACTGGAGCTACAAATGTGAAAAAGAGAAAACATTTTAAAGCGTTCAATTCCTAAAACTAAAAAAATGAACCGTTTTTAACACATTTTTAAGAAGTTCATCTTATCGTCTGTAAAGTGTACCGTGTATACTTCGTGGAGCGCCCTATGTTTATTGTGAGTGTCGAAAAATTGACAGGTTATCAAAGAGAAGCACTGAAACAAAACAGTCACGATCGAATTGGTTTTAGTTTCTGGGTATTGGAAAACATGAATGTTAAGGCAGTGCGCGGAGTTTTAGTTACATGGTAAAAAGACACACGATAAAAATATGCTATTCAAATAGCCTAAATGATGTTTTTGTTTTTCTTCTTCTCACACTTGTAGCGATCCGGCGATGAAACAATTTTTGCTGCATTTGGATGAGAAGCAAGCATTTGGGAAAAAATTCATTCTGCTCAATTTGGACGATACTCACCTGTTTATAGAGACGGACATCGTAGAAACGCTGCAGAACAAGTTTGACGATTTGATGGATCGCATCAGTTTTCCATTGCACGAAAGAGGCGATTAACTCTGCCCATTCACGCATTCATTATCATCAATCGTTCTATTTTTGTAGTATAAAGATAAGCATTGTAAGATAAGCATACATATTGCATTGAAATCGCATCCAGAGAATCGAATCGAGTACTCGTAAAGCAATCAATGCATTAAAACGAGACAATTTTATCCACATTCCAGACACTGATTCTTACAATTATTTTGAAATAGTTCTAGACGGATCAAACATGGGATTGTTTTCATAAGTACAAAATTTGAAAATAACTTGTTGCGAAGACTTTAATAAATAAAAACACACTATATTCTACTGACGTCTTGCCATAAATTTTATAATATCAACAATTTTGTTTATTATATCGATTTGCTACGCTGGATTGCATCATTAGGCATTTACGATTTGATTTGAAAGATTTGGAAATGGTCCTTCATAACGAAAACACAGCTGAAAATAGTATAGAAGTGGGAGAACATTGAGTAGAGAATTGGTCACACATTTTATCCATGCTAAGCCAGGAGAGAAATTATTTTATTCATTCACCTGATCATTTGGAAAATTAGCTCGTCCACACCGTGGACATAGCTTCTCTTCATTTGGACGAACGGTGATGAATTGATATTTGCAACAAATGATGTTGTTTGACGAAATTTTGCAGGTGTAATACGCATGCCAACGTAAATTGGGCGGTTGTATTTGCATTGAAACGTTCAATGAAAAATCTTCGATATTTCGTGGTTTGTTCATTTCGATAAGCTACTCAAAACTTCACCGGTAAATGGATGATTTGATTTTGAATTTTTTTTCTATGGGAAATAAATTCTCTGTTAAATAGTTTTGGCGTTTATACACTTTTATCCTCGTGGCTTATCTTGCAAATTATGATTCATGCTTTCTTTACGTTTCATTTCTGTCCTATCCACTTGATAGGCGCAGCGGCAAATTAAACTTTATCCATCTTAGTCAATAAATACGTTCGATGCATTCACCCACCGAATATGTCAGTTTGAATTAAATTGATTTGAACTTTCAAAATATCAACGATAGAAAAAAAACAGCTTAGCTGACTATTTGGAAAATTCTCTTCGAGACGATTTTGTTAATTCTGGTACGACACACATTTAATTTGGATGAAATGCGTGTCTTTTTCGGTGCTCGTTGTTCGAACAGTTATCCAGAATGCACAATTCAATCAGTTTATATAGTAGAATTCAAAGACTTTGATCAACCGCAACAAGAGACTAGAGAAAAACTGCTAAAATATGGCATCCACGGAGGAATACTGCCAATTATAATTGAATTAGTACATTTCAATACATTGCATCGTTCACATTTCTAACTTATTTCAAAATTGATACATGAAAGATTGTGGTTGCATATAGCTATTCAATTTATCTACTCTTTTCGTTGGATTTTCTTTCTACTTTTCCGAAAAGTAAAAGTTTATTACAAAAATGCCTTGGTGAATTCCATAAAAACTAGTCTCTTTCCTATCAGCTACGCTAAAGTCAAATAGACCGTTTGGTTTCCTTAAAAACAAGCCATTTTTTCCAGTTGCCTGATAATAAAATCTCTTTTTTTCATTTATTTGTGTTTGTTTGCTTTTTTATTTTCAAAAACTCAATTTTCCGATGTTGGTACAAATATGGACATTTCAATAGCACCGTTACCGAGTCTATCGTGGTTAATTGGTTTGTATAACAATGAGAATTCACCGAGGTAATCACCGGCCAATCATTTCTGGTTTGAACCTATTGAAAGAAGAAAGGAGAAAAATCAAAGTGTATATTAGTATCATTTATCAACATGATGATGTATTTCGTCAAATAAAAGACGTGGGAATAAAAGTCAGTCTGCCAAATCATCGAGTTAGGTGTCAATGGGAAAATCAGAAACATAAATCGTTGAAAAATACAACAAGAAATGGTTCCGAAACCCATACAAGACACCCAATCAGTCTCGTCATCTAGTATCATCATTTAATCAATTCCACTGTCAACACACCTTCGATTCAACAACATTGTTAACCGAATACTAACCTGATTGAAAGTCTTTCCGTCTTAGACAGTGATGATTGAGCGGCTCAAATTGATCCAACCATTTTTGGGACATGGAAGATGTGTCTTGACAACGGCTGGTGAGAAACGACTGCGAGCACAGCTATGCATCAGTTCGACAAATCGGTCACTGTAAATCAAAATCCAACGAAAAAATGTTAATAAAATATTTAGCCAAAAATATTTCAAACGAAATTCGTATCGAAACACACATACTTTTGCATATCAAGCAATTGATCCAAGTCAACACCACGGAAGGTGAACTTTTGGAAAGCACACATCTTCATCTGATTCTGCTGTGCATCAAATCGAGAGTAACAATTCCGAATTTGCTGAAATGACACAAAAAATTCCTTTCCAAGTTTTCGATGCATCGTTAACCTATAAAAATCCCTTTGAATCATGATTTCAATTTGATTTTCAGTGAAGGAATTAAAGTGTGACAACCGGCTATGCCAAAGTCAAATAAACTGTTGTTTTCCATGAAACACAAGTCGATTGTTAAATAATAATATCTCGTTTTTTTTATTTTTCGTTTTTGTTTGCTTTTTTATTCAAAAAAAATCCATTTTTTTGATGTTGGTACAATAAAACGTACAAATACGGATAGGTACACGAGTGGTTTGTGAGCCTATTTCAATGGAATAAAACGTGAACTGTGAGTAGCACCAATACCGGGTCTACCGTGTTTGACTGGTTTGTACGTCAATGAGAATTCACCGAGGTAGTGGCCAATCATTTCTGGTTTGATTTCAACCTGTTGAAAGAAGAAACGAACAAAGTGTTTTAGTATCGTTTATCAACACACACGCACACGGTGACATGTTTCATCGAATAAAAGAAGTAAGAATAAAAGTCAGACTGCCAAATCATCGAGTTAGGTGTCAATGGGAAAATCAGAAACAAAAATCGTTGAAAGATACAACAAGAAATGGTTCCGAAACCCATACAAGACGCCCAATCAGTCTCGTCATCTAGTATCATCATTTAATCGATTCTCACTGTCAAAATACCACCCGATACAAAAACACCGTTCACCAAATACTAACCTGGTTGAAAGTCTTTCCGTTGTAGATACCGATGATTGATCCAACCATTTCTGGAACAACGATCATGTTACGAAGGTGAGTCTTGACAACAGCTGGTTTTTCCAATGGTGGAGCTTCCTTCTTGGCTTTACGCAATTTCTTGATCAAAGCCAATGGTTTGCGTTTCAATCCACGTGAGAAACGTCTGCGAGCACGGCTGTGCATCAATTCGACCAATTGATCACTGGAAACCAAAATCCAACGGAAAAAAAGGTTAATAAAACATTCATGCCAAAGAATTTTCAAATGAAATTCGTATCGAAACACACATACTTTGGCATATCAAGCAATTGATCCAAGTCAACACCACGGAAGGTGAACTTACGGAAAGCACGCTTCTTCTTTTGAATGTCTTCTACCTAAACAGCGACAAAAATCAATCCATGAAATGCGTTTCTTTACGTTTTACTTAGAAAATCGATGAGAAATATTGATTTCAATCGCAAATTATCACCAAATTCTTTGATCACATTTTCCACAAAATCATAACCTATAAATGTATTTGGCAGTCACGTAAATAACACCAAACCACTACTGAAACACTATAACTTTCGGCAACGAATTTTCCATTTTTCAATAAAATGTTCATCGTTCAGATATTTATCGGAAATTTCAATAGAATCCAAAGAATTTGAATCAATTGGAATTTTTTCAATCGGTCGATGGATGATGATGATAATTTGCGATTAAAATTATTGAATTTTTTCAGTACCTCAGCCATGTTTACGATGTGCACTTTGCAACAATCATATACAGAAAGAATGACACAACGTCGTGCGATTTTCTATGTGAAGCGCTGTATTCGGTCCGGTTAACCGGTTTAGCACGATGACAGTCATGGTGCGTTCACATGTTCGGTCGAAACGGTTCATGTTTTTTTGGATAAAACTTTGATTTAGGTGGGATATATGTATTGAAAATCAATTTTTTAAGAAATATTCTGAAAAATCCTTTCGTTTAAAAATTATTTTTTGTGATTTAAAATTAAAATTTTACATCGAAAATAAAATGTAAACATTTATCTTTACCATAACCGTTGTATGGCCTTAACGACATTAGTTCATCGTCTGTACACCACATGCAGCGCACGATGTTCAATATAAGCGGCGAAAAATTGACAGGTTATCAAAGAGAAGCACTGGAACAAACAAAAGGTCTTGTTTCTGTACGAAATAAAAAAGAAAAATCAAATTTTTCGTTAAAAAACACAATCGAAGTGGTGTTAGTTTCTGGTTTTGGAAAGCATGGTTAACTTAGTCAAGGGAGTTTTAGTTACATGGTGAGAAAAATACACGAAAAAAGTGTGCTGTTTAAATTCTCATAAATGACGTTGTTGCTACATTTTTTCTTCTCCCCACATTCGTAGCGATCCGGCGATGAAACAATTTTTGCTGCATTTGGATGAGAAGCAAGCATTTGGAAAAAAGTTCATTCTGCTCAATTTGGACGATACTCACCTGTTCATATCGGTGGACATCGTAGAAACGCTGCAAAACAAGTTTGACGATTTGATGGATCGCATCAGTTTTCCATTGCACGAAAGAGGCGATTAGTTCTGTTCATTCACACATTCATCATCATCATCATTATCATCAATTGTTCTTATTTTTTTTGTCTAGAAATTAACTTAGTATAAGATAAGCATAAAAAACTGCATTGAAATGGCGTCCAGAGAATCGAATCGTGTAAAAGAAGCGGATAAGAAGCGTGTATTGGATGAGGTATCACGAATTCGTCGTGCTCGCAAAGCGCTCAATGCATTGGAGCAAGACAATTTCCATGAAGATCCGCACGCTGATTTGGTGATGTCAAAGAAAGTGCCGAAATTCGATGAAAACCTCACCGAACAAACAAATGGACGAGCTCGAAAGATGAAACGTAAAAATGGTGACTTCATCAAAGCTAAATACCGCAAAAATTTCCTCCAATTGCTGGAAGACGATCGATGTGCCTCGGATGAGACCAACGAACCATGTTACAGTAGCGCACAAGCACCCGAATCGAAAATGCCTGAACGTCATTTTTGCGCCGTTTGTGGCTTTCCATCGAATTACACATGCACAGTTTGCGGCACACGTTATTGTTGTATTCGATGTTTGGGCATTCATCAAGACACGCGATGCTTGAAATGGACAGCATAAATCAAAATTTCCCTTTTCATACATTGGATTAAAAAATTATTTGACACAATAAAAAAAGAAGAGAAAAACACACACACAAAACAAAACCAAATCTCTGTGTTTATATTCAATCGCATCGATTTGATAATTCTGTTGACAACTTCAGCTTGTTCACTGTGCTGCTGTCTTCTCTTTTTTTTGAATCGGTATTGATATGAGCTATGACGTCATAGGTTAACAGTTAAATGTGTTTCGCATTGCAAAGACAGCACTTCGTCCGAGAAAAGTCATTTTCAAGTTGAACATTTTAGCACAGCAATCTCTACAACAATGGACACCGAACAACTATTTCTGATATCGTTTGCGGTGATGTTTCTAATGGTTCTGTTCAAAATGGTTTGTTGATCAATTATTTTTTCGTGGATTTTTTTTTGTCGTGTGTATTTTCCAATTCTGTTGTTTTTCTTTGGTTCATCATTACACACAGATATTGCATACGATTGAACCAATGCCGGCAAAAGGTCAAACATCATGCAAAATGTCACCTGTTCAGCAACGAAAATCCATTAGTGCAGCCGGTGCGATTGACTCGGCAAAAATTTCAACGTTTTCAGCTGGTTTAACAGAAAGTTCAACGTTTTCGGAACAGCCCGGGGAACGGAATTTCACAAAATTATCAGTTGACCGTTCACCCAATCCGATGGCTAACACCGATCTCAAATCGAATCAACGAACACCGCTCAAACAACGAAAAGTTGATTCAACCAAACGGAAAGTTGATTCAACCAAACGGAAAGTTGATTCAACCAAACGGAAAGTAGCTCTCCATCGGCCCACTATTCTGATCAGTCGAAGCAACGATGTGGCTCAGGTAGATACGCATCTGTTTGATGGAAATCCAAATCATGTCATGTTCGCCAGTGCAAAACCATCCGTCACAACACCAAAGAAGCTAATACCGTCTGAACCATCATTCCTCGGCCAAAAATCACCTCAATTGTCGCCGTTCAAGGGCAAAGCATTTTCACCGTCAAACGTCAACAAGTCGAAAAGATTGTCGGTTTCGGAAATGATTGAAGGTTGGCCATTCAAACGCCCACAGCAAAGTGTAATCAAGGATAAGAAGCTCAATTGCCACCAAACCATCGAAAAAGTGGAAAATATCGTTCATTCAGCCAAATTTCTAGAGACAAGCGAACCGATCCAACACAACAATGCCGATGTGAATAAGGAGAATGTGCCGGCCACAGCCATTTCCAACGAAAGATACCCGAAAAGTATGTACGTTAGCCCGTTCACCATCGTTGGTCGCCGGCCAATACGTTCAAAGCAACAGAAATAATGCTCATTTATTGTGAAAAAAAAATTGTCTTTAAGAGAGAGAAAAATACCAATGAATGTCATGTGATTTGTAATTTTAAATATTTTATTCATTCAATTTATCGTTATTTCATTCGAAAAGTTAACTTATTTTGTTGAAACGCGCCAAGAGGTGCCATGAAAAAGTTCCTATTTTTTTTTTAATTGTTGCAGTTAAGTTTTTCTTCAAATTTAATCCGATATAAATATTATCGATAAATAAAAATCAAACGGAATAAATTTATGGAAAAAATATGGTTATTTGCATTGAAACCGCCTCATTCCAATCGAAGCGCAACCTGTTGCATTTTTGGCGATCTAATTCGAATTTGAACAATGACAGCACCGACAATCGACATACACAACTCAAGCACCAGCAAGCAACAGTCACCGCACACAATGATTAAACGGTGCATTTGACTCGCGCAAGAAATTGTGAAAAAAAAGTTAATATTTTGTGCTGTCCCCAACAAATGAAACGAATTTTATGATCCAGGTGAGTTCAAATCAAATCAAATCATTCTTCACGTTGTCATAATCATTGAATAAAAAAAAATCCGATTGAATTTTGCATAAGAAAATCATATGTAACAAGTGTACTCAGTACGGTGTTTTTGTTTCTTTTCATCCACTCATAGTGACTGTACACATTTGCCGAACATTCTGTTAGCCCATAACCTTCAAAATGAATCGCGATGAATTGCTTCAGAAATATCGGAAAAATAACATTGAAATGGCGGTTGCACTCAATGAGAGAAAAATAACGATAAACGAATTAACCGGAGATGTGCTACGATTGGAAGACAATCTACAACATGCGCACAAAATACGAGCAAAGTTGGAATTCGAATCGGAAGCACGGCGACGTGAAAATGAGCTACTGAAAATGCAATTGATTGATCAGAATCACAAAATGGTAACGTGGCGTGCAATGATTATGGACCTATTCAAGAGCACCACAGGTAAATACATGGAGATATTGCAAGCCATTGGTGTACCACTCACTCCAAAAGCGCCGCCACCGGCATCATCGGTTCAGGAACCAAAGAGCATAGATAAGTGCAATGCAAATGCTAAATTGGTCAAGATTTCGCCGTCTTCAGACCGACCAGCAGCTGATGATTTAGCCGATTTTGTTGGTCATCGACCCGATCATCAGTCATCCGACGCAAACGGTCGACCGTTAGCACCAGACCAAGGCGGAGAAGGAAAAGATTTAATTCGATTTTCCAAATCACCCCAAATTCGAATGGTCAAAATCGAAAGCTCATCGGATGCTTTGGCAAATGTGACTGTAAGACGACCAACCAAATCGCTGCCGATCGATAAGAGTCGACATGAAAATGAAAGTCAGCTGGAAACTGAAAAACCTGAAAATCAAGTGCAAACTGAAGATCCAGATCTAATCAGCCAGATCAACGAATCATTGCAGCTGTTGGACGAATTATCTCATCCGAACCACTTGTATCCAGACACGGAAATCATCAGAAGCGATACAGATACGACTTTTTCGGACGATTCCATCACGGAATCATTTTCCTCGATGAAAATATCGAAAATTTCAGGCAGACAAGAGCAACAATCAAGTGATGAATCGAAAAAGGGAACAATCAAACCGGGAGTGATTGTCGAAAATGTTGAGAAAGAAAAGGCATCGTCATCATCATCGATTGGTCCAGTAACACCGAGTATTCTAATCAGTGCAAGTCCAAATGTTGCCCAGCCAATCAAACGAAAATCCGATGAGAATTTCTTGAGAGTTCCGAAGAAATCGTCGTCAATGAGCAAGAATTCGCAGCCAAGTTCACCAAAGAAATCGAAGCCATCACAGGTGAATGCATTTAATGAGAAATCACCGCATCTGTCATTGAGCTTTCGGAGTGCGGTTTCACCATCAGCCGATAAGAGCTTGTCGACGACTTTGACGCAAATTATCGAAAAATCACCAGCGAAAACCCCGATGAAAAGTACATTCAATAGCAAGAATATGGTGTCCAGCGGCACTCAAATGGTCAAGAGTCCGAACAATCTGTTCAAACCAAAGAGTCAAGAGACTCCTATCAAACCCAGATCCAAGGAAAAGAAACCGAAAGATATTGCTGCTGTTTCCGGTAAGCATCCATTGCATAACAAATTCGCTGATTTTGAACACGATACCGACGAAAATGACTTGATTGGCCCAAACGGACGTCGGGTACGTCGTGCTGCACCTACAGATCTCAGAGAGCCATCGCTTATTCTGAAAATGCGGCGTGCACGCTAAATTCCAAACGATTAAACTGATAACATTAAATTGATCAATTCAATAACAGCAAGAACTTTAGAAACAAAAGATAATTTGATGCCGGAAATTCGAGTAAATTAGTCATTTAGCAATAGATACATTCCATTTCACCCTACCATTACCATTAAATCATAAATAAATACGTTGTTTGTTAATAGAACACTGACTATTTTTGTTCAACTCATTGAAACATACAAGAATAATCAAGTTTTTTTATTTTAAGGAGAAAATTCACGATGAATTAATCGATACGGATTGCTATGGGTAGGTCTGTTCAAAGGAAATAGCATTGTTGCAATCGATCCATTGTAAGTTGTTGTAAATAGTAGTCTTGAACTAATATTAATCAAAGGTTTCAGTTTCAAATAGTCACAAGGCTATCCAGAATGTTGCGATTCCAGCGCATCATGTGTTACGTGAGCCGAATTTAATGAAATTTTTGCAATAATAGCTGAAAAAACTTCTGATATCATAGTAAATCAGAAATGGAGCTGGGCATTGGTTGAGATGGAATGATAGTACTAGCATAGCCGGATAAAAAGTCTAGCTGGATTCTGCAAGTTTAGTTGCGAATCGCATTTTATCGACACATACAGTTTGTTTGATTTTTGTTTCAGTGAATTTTTCTAAATTGGCCTCCTCAGTTTTTGATTCAATAGTTCGTCCAGTACTGGTGATTTCATGCTATTGCCTTTATCGAAATATCGGCTGTGAATCTAACAACGAACTTCATTGCATATTTTACCAAAAAATCCTTTCCGGTAAGTGATTTAGGGCAACACGTCAAGAAAAAGACATTTCTTCAGCTTTTTGACTATAACACGTAAGCCATACATTTCCATTGCATATTGTCTTAGTTGAACACATTAGACATGGTCTTGGTATCCCATTCAATTGACTGTAATAACGCACCTAACCACTTTTGCACCGTATTTTTTTTTTCGTTTAATTCGAAAAACTGAATAAAAATTCTTATTCGAAACCGTAAATTGAACTAATTGCATTTTGTTCGTTTTCTTTTTTCATATTATTTAAATTTCATTCGAAAATAAACACTTTCTGTCGGAAGCGCCACCATACGTTAACTTTGTCAAGCGATTGGAATTTAAAAAATGACAGCTTCACAGTGTGTGTTCTATGGCAAACAGTCAAACGTAATCGTCAACAACACATTGTTTTCCTCGTTTCCTCATCATTTTGACAACAACTAAAGAATATCGAATAATTTTCCAATTTATTTCATAAATTTCTTCGTTTAAAATGGATGACAACAGTTTGATTGAGGATTTGGAACGATATCGCCGGAATAATGTCGAATTAGCAGTGGCATTGAACGATATGAAGACTGAATTGAATATAACGCAAATGCAGCTGTTGGAACAGGATCGTAAGCTGCAACAGGTATACGACCAAAATGCAGCGCTAAAGCAGAACATTGCGCAAAAAGACAGTCAATTGAGTACATGGCGTGCATTGATTATGGATTTGGTGACGACAAATACTAGAAAGTATACGGAATTGATGCAAAAAGTTGGTTTGGTACCGGCTGCAAACGGAACGTCAAACACCAGCATCAAAACGGACACAAGCACAACAACAAAGGTACTATCCACAGAACAGCCAAATGCTCGTGTAAATTTGCACCGAAAACAACGACAAAACTATGATTATTCACCAACACGACTACCCGATCTAACAGAGGAAAGCATACATTCTCAGCTCAACGGTTCGCGAAGTTTGACAACAAGCCCCGAAATAAATCCAAACCATCACGTAACATCACGTCGACGTGTATCAGTGCCACCAATGACGCCGGCTTCACCGCTTCGAGAGATCCAAGAACGATTGGTTGGAAGCGGTCAGTCGAAAGCAAAGAAATCCAGTTCAAAAGTGCAAAAAATGGAGAAAATCGACGACGAAAACACACATACCAACGAAATCCATGGAAATGGACGGAAATCACAACGAAAAGCCGCCCCAAAAAGTTTGGCTGAACCAAAACTAGGCACAAAAATGAGACGTAATTAGATTTAATGGAAATTAGAATCGATCACATCTAAGCAATCGTTGGTATCGAACGATTTTATTTTATTTTTTTCCTTTTTTTATTTGACAACAGTTCTGTGGACTGATTAGAGCACTATGAAACTAATATTGCATTTATTGGTATAAATGTAGATTTTAAGCGTATTTTAGTGTTTAAAAATTAAGTTAAAGCTTGAAGAAAGCATCCATTTTCCTAAATTGATCGAATTGATTCGCATTATAAATAAAAAAAATCCATTGTATCGTGTTTGCTTTCGATTTTCATTGAATGAAGAATCCGTTGACATAAAACAAATGTGTTGTTTCACTTGTTTCCCATCAGACTGCGTAAGCATCGCTTACATTGACACTTTAGCTCATCACAATCAATTTTCAGGTTATGTTTCATTTGAATCAAAGTCAAAAAGAAAACATCGTAGATTTTAGTGTAAAGTTGATGTAAAATTGTGCGAGAATGTCGTATATAAAACATACTGAAAAAGCGTTGAATATTCTACGTGGTTTGCCACGAGTATCGTTGGGAAATCTGCGCGATAATCCAGGAGCGCATAAAGACAACAGGAGAGGACGAGGTCAACACGGCGGAGACAAGCACGGTGCTGGTAACAAAGGTTCTGGTCAACGACAAAATTACATGCGTCTTGGATATGAAACCGGGAACTTCCCATTCTATCGACGATTTCCATTGGAACCATACTACAAGGGCCACCAGTACGTTTGAAGCGTGTACATTTTTTTCATTCGTCCAAAAGCTAATGTTTGTATTTATTCACAGCTTACGACGTGAATACATCCCGATTACAATGGATCAATTGCAAATGATGATCGACACGAATCGTTTAGACGCATCGAAACCAATTGACCTGGTCCAAATGTGTAACACCGGCTTGTTTAAACTACAACCGGACAGTCGACAGTATGGATTTGCATTGAAGGACGATGGTATTGAGAAATTCACAGCAAAAGTGCATCTCGAGGTGCAGCATGCAAGTGAACTGGTTATTTCACACATTGAAAAATTGGGTGGCGTCATTCGAACCGCTTACTTCGATATGTACGCACTCATGGCAATGAAAAATCCAAAGTTATTCTTCGAAAAGGGCGTACCAATTCCAGAACGAATGATTCCACCACAAGATGCCATTGAATACTATACCGATCCACAGACACGCGGCTACTTGGCCGATCCAGAAGCCATCAGTCGCGAACGTTTGGTAAGTTTTGATCAATTTTGCGTCGTCTACAATTAGATTTTACATTAGTTGGGTTGAAAATTGTTGATTTTGAGGTTGGAATTTCCAATTTGGAAATTGTTAGCCTATCAATTCAACTTTTTTCAATTTTGACATTTAAAATTTAATCCTAACTATAATGTAACGCTAAACCGTTTGTGTATTTTAACAAATATTTCAGGTGTTGGCCCAAAAGTACGGCTATGAACTGCCGAAAATCGAAGATGACCCACAGTACGAAATGTTCTGCGAAGCGAAAGATCCACGACAAATTTTTTTCGGATTAGAACCAGGATGGGTGGTCAACTTACCCGATCAAACAATCATCAAACCAATTTCAGAGAGTCAAAGTCAACAGCAAAAAGAAATAAAAGCCGAAGCCAACGCTTAAATATGTGTTTACTTTAAGCATTTTTGACTTGTTTATAGCCTTTTTGTGTAATAAAATATATTGTTAATTTTAGCAAACCGATTTATTCTCATTAGAAATGATTAAAAAAGGCTCTAAGCTGCTGATTGAAGGTGAAGCTCTAAGCTGCTGTCATTGGTCAATTGTAAAGTACTTACTGCAACGGTCACACAACTGTGGTCAAATTAAATGACGAAACTTCTGTAAATGTAAGAACAAACTTATTTTTTCAATCCAATATCGAATGATGATGAATGGTGCCGAAACTGTGGAATCGTTGCTTTTGATCACCAGAGGAAGTACTCAACTAATGAATATCAAGCTTTAAATTCCTTTGAAAATCCCTCAATAAAACGACTTGTGTTTATTATTTTCGTAATATTTTTCCATATGTTTATTAATATATTTCCATTTTTGTTTCTATCAATTTTAATAATTTATTTTTTTTTTTGATACATATAAAAACGAGGACAAATGATGACAATTCTTTGTTAGATGCTTCATTATTCTGATTTTCAGTTGTCATTTGAGTAGCTTAATTAAAAAAAAAACACACAAAATATTTTGCGTGTGGCTAATGCGCAGAATTATTAAATGTAAAGTTGAAGAAGCACTTTATACTTCGTCGTTTCAAAAAGCCGAGAGGAAAAAAAACAAAGACGAAAAAACAAAAAAAATTAAATTTGATTAGGAATTGAACTGAAAAAATTGGATTTGATTTGTAGTTCTTAACGATTAACATTTAAAAGTTGTTATTTTCTATTTACAAATGGCATGATTATTATTGTATTGGATGCCCTTTAGTTTATGGTACAATAAATCGATTATTTTATTTATTTTTTTTCTTTTTAATTCATAGTTTGTATGATGGTTGGGTGTTTGTGTGTGTGTGTGTTTTTATTTGTTATCGATTACTACGCGTTCCGTTATATTCATACGTGAAACATTTTTTTCATTTTTTTTCTTCATATCTCCCCCGAAAAGGGTTAAACGAGTTGCGTGCTTCAATTTTTTTTTGCCACCACATTTACATCTAAATTCATAGTGTTGATTATTTTTTTAATCGTTTTTTTCTTTTATAATTCTAATTTTTTTTTATAAATATTTGAATTTTATTTTAAAATTAAAATAGTAAATATGTACAACGATTTTTGTTTCAATGATTTTCAAATTCATTAGTTGAAATTGATCAATAAAGAGACTGTGTGTGTGTTTTTTTTTCTCAATAATTTTGATAAAATAATTTTGTCATGCGTTTAGCTGTGAAAATTGGATTTTTAAAATGCTACATTCCATCGCATTGTTATGCCAGTAAATCATATTGAAATTGTTTCCCATTTCCATGAATAAAATTCTTGCGTTTTCCTTTGTTCGTAATAATCTATACAATAGAATAAATTTATTATTTTTTTGTTTTTGTTTTTGTTTTTTTTTGTATTCATATTCATATTCATTTGGCAACATTTAATACACAGATTTTATTTTCATGTCTGTTAGTTTTTCTTCTTTCTTGTGTGTGTATGTGTATGCATTGTGTTTCTCTCATATGGGGGACATAAAACGACAATCAATATTTTTTAACATCATCTTGAATATTTTCTTCGGTTACTGTCATAGTATTTTTATTTTCTTCCGTCGATTTCTTCGTTTTTCCATTGTTAATGCTCGCCAATTGGCAGTTGACTTATGAATATAACGAGTAATTCCATTCACAATTGTTTCACCCTATCTGTGTAGATTTCTTCTTTTCCATTTTGTTTTGTTTTTACATCCATATGACTTATAAATTAGATGAAATTGGTTCCGAGTTTGTTGCGTATTTTATTGATTCAGTTTTTCTTCATTCATTCGTTGGCGTGGCAATCGCCGTCACATACTATAATTTGTTTTCTTCTTCTGTTTTTCCTTCTTCAATTTCAAATAAACGGAGAGTATGTTTTCTTTCAATAACATCTAGTATATCGCCAGTCTCAAAAAGCTCGAATCACTTAAGTAATTATGTGTGTTTATTTCTTCCATTAAAAATATGTTCTTCTTCTTTGTGTCGTGTCACTTGATTAATATCTCATTTTTCCTAGTGGAAAAGTTTCCCTTGTTAATTTCCCTCTTCTTTTATTATTATCAATTATGTGATTAATTTTTCTTTTAAAATAAATTTCATTTATTTGTTGTTTTTTTTCCTATGTGATTTTTCTTCTTTTCTCTTGGTGAGGTTCAAAAAAAATCTCTTTTACTGATCACCACATTGTTTCAAAATTACACTAAAAATTGTTTACGTTTTGCAATGATAATGCAATTAGACGGTTTTAATTCTTCAATGTGTGCAATTGTCGTCGTTTTCATCTAATACGAATTCTACGCACTGCCGACATTTACTGAACGCCTTCGTCGTCGTCGGATTTGATTTGCCTTTTTCTTTGAAAAACGAATGTTGTATGGATCTTCGGCCAATTCTGGATAAATGTTAACATCATGAATGTATTCGCCTTCATATTGATTGACATATCCTTGTTTGAGAATCTCATCAATTTCGGCTTGAGTCCAGTCCATGGTTGTGGTGAGACCGGCTCGAAGTGTCTCCTTTTCACGATGCCAAGCCTTGCGTACCGCTTGCAATTTTGCATGATGCATTAGTCTTTGTTTCTCTTTTTCCACCGTTGTGCCATAACGCAAATTGATCACGGCGTGTGATCCATGGATTTTCACATCCAAATAATTATTGCCGCTGCCATTCTCACGGGCAATCTCATGGAATGTTGTATTCACCTGTCCCTGTAATCGTTTCAACTGTTGACGATCCTCACTTGCACGCCATGACTCTTCTTTCACGAAATAGAACGAATCTTGCTGTGAATTGTGCACAATAAATGTAAATGGCAATAGACTAGAGCGATTGAATACGGATGTGTATACATCACGATAGATTGCATTTGCGGCTGGTACACTTGAAACAATGGCTTGACCAGATTTGGTGCGTGACACCACGATTCCTTTACCGAATGGTGGATCAGAGGCGGCACCAATTTTCTGCATTCCAATATTCAACAAATCAGTTTTCAATGACGACTTTGGTGGTGCTGACAATTTTTCAAAGTCCGTTAGACGACGATGGGCCAAATGTGTTAAGAAACCAGACTCAATAGACGTTCTATCCTTGGCAAAGAAGTGCGTTTCCGGCTTTAAAATCGATGGCTGCACTGAACCCCACAGATTTTGTGGCTGCCACATTGGCTTCACTAATTGTGGCATTAAATTCTTAATGTGATAACCCATTAGCTTCAACCAGGTTTGATAGTTTTGCGGATAGTTACGGTCATGTTCAACATTTATTGGATCATTTCCATTGAATCGATACAAATGCAGCTTGGTTGGTGTTGCAATGCGTTCTGCAACATTTTCCCAGTTTGGTGACATCCATTGGCCGATTAGCGGATCGTAAACCTTTCCATTTGGCATGTGCACAAGTGTTGTTACCTATGGCATGAGAACAAAATGCGTTGGAGATTAAAAAAAATTTAAATCGTGAACAAAATCAATGAGGAGTGAAAAACAAGCGATTTTATCTCTTACCTGATCCAAAATACCGCCACAGAAATCGATAGGCAAGTAGAGATATGGATTAGAATCATAAACGATGTGTCCGTATGGCGAACGCATAATTTCTCGAATTCCTTCTCCGTATTGGTTGAAAATCATGACTGGTGTACCGCATTGATCGGTGGCAATGTAGTATTTATGTCGATAGACTTGAGCGTAAATCAAATGGCCTCTATCATCGTAGACTAATGACATGAGTTTACCATCGCGTGGCGAGTAAATCTGGCTGACTTCATGCTGTCGTTCCTTGTTGTTGTAGAAAAACTGTGTGACATTGCCGTAATTATCTTTTCGCGTTATCAATCGGCTCAAATGGTCATAATAGTAGTGAATGTCGAATCGGCCACGTTTTGTGGCTCGCACCAGCAGCCCTTGTGTGTTATAGTGGAATCGTTCTTCGCGTGCATTTTGCGATACCAAACCCCGTCCATCGTATTTGTATTGGCCGTCGCCGAATTTCACAATTCGATCGAGTGCATTGTATTCCATTGGAATTGTGTTTCCACGATATGTTAGCGACAACATGTTTCCATTATCATCGTAGCGGAAACCCCATGGTTCTTGTGCTTCGACGCCAATCAATTGCCCGTCACAGTCCCACGTATAGTTTTTGACATTTGTATATGTGTTCACGCCAACGTTTCGTGTATAGGTTCTGGTTTGTGAAATTCTGCCGTGCATGTCATGTGAAAATTCCATGCGGAACACTTCCAATCGATGAATCGTAACCGAGAGTTGTGTCTCGAGGAAGCGTCCATCAACGGTGCGAATAAAACTGGCCGTACCATCATTGACTTGCGTTTGATTCGGTCGCGGTGTATTTATTTTGAATGGTCCAATTTGGCTTGGTTTTCCCGTTCGTACATTGTAACCGAACGATTGAGCGGGTAAATTTTGTCCACCGATTCGTCCTTGGATGGATGTAACACGGAAATTCGTATCGTATTCGTATGTAAATTTTGCATTGCTCAACGCTGATTTTGCTTCAAAGTCAATTCTTTCTTCGCTCAATAGACCGCCCGTGTATTCCAAATCCCATCGATATTGCAACTCACGTTCGACATGTGTCACAGTGGTTGGCATACCACTCATTGTATTATACTCAAATTCACTTTTACCATCGCCATGAATAATTTGCGATAATTGTCCAGCCTCATTGTAGCGATAAACAATGTGAGCACCATCGCCGGGGAAAACGGTATGCAACAATGCACCAGATTGTGTGTAATGCTGAAGATATGGCTTTGTACTGCCGGGCGGTGTATACGTCACCCGAATGAAACCAATCGATGGTTGCATACTAAATGAATGCTTTGTACCGCCACTTGGTAGCGTAACATGTCTCAAGCCGCCGTTTTCATCGTAACTAATGGCGAACTTACGTTGGCTGGCCAAACCAATTTCCGATATTAAATTCCAATCGTTGTACACATATGAAATGATGCCGTCTTGTGCGCTTGTTACCTCAGATAACAGTCCATGACGATCGTATGTATATTTCAGTTCGGATGGCCCCCAGCTCCAGCCTTCGATGCGATTGAAACGGTCATAGGTAATGTTCAATGGGTAACCACCGTTGGCCGGTGCATACGAGAGTGGCATTCCGGATGGATCGAATGTGATTGCGAATATTGGACGGCGGTTTTTATCGTAGAATGTTTCAACGCTGCTAAATTGATCGTATTGAATGCAGAATGCTCGTGAATTGTTAACCCAAATATCGCGGCTCAATGTTTGCTGTGGATTTCTCAAGTCGCCGATTAAACTGTAAATTGAGTGCATGTTATTCGTTAAGCCTTCGCCCATTGTAACCGCTTGATGTGACCACATCGGTAGCATTTCACTTTCAACGGGCAACAATGATTCCAAGAATGGATGTCTTGAGATAGCTGCCGATTCAACAACTACATCATTTGGTGCCACGGCGCGCAATGTGTTATTTAGACTGAATCGAGCACGTGTAATGCGTCCGGTTCGATTCATTACCAACGATTCAATGCCACCAATGGCTGATACTTCACCCGAAATTTCCGGCAATTGCGAGAACAAAGACGGTATTGAACTTTTTACATTCACCGTTAAGCCGACATTCTTGCCGAGTTTCGATCGAATCGAAATGGTTTCACCGCTTGGCAATGTCATTCGAACGGCACGGCCGAAATCATCGTACTGATAAATGTATGTTTCGCCACCGCATGATAAACTATTCAACAGTCCCGATGTGCTATCGTAATCAAGTTCAAATTCAGATTTGCCTTTTTCAGTGAGTTTCGCTAACAAACCAATGCCCGATATTTTCAGTTCCGATTTGTGATCCTGTGTATTCTCAATTGAGCTCACAATGTTGCTGTAATCACGCAAAAATTGGATTTTATTTCCGGAACTATCGGTAACCGTGGACAATTTGCCGAAGCTGGTATTTTTTGAATAAAGGAACGAGTATCGAGTTTTCGCTGAGGTTAAGTCTTTCGTTGTAACATGTTGACCGTAACGATTGAACACATAAATTTCATTGGTCGGTGGGTATGGAATGTGGAATTCGCCGTTTTCATCGTGCGACGATAGATAATGTTGCAGGGCAAGAATGTGCAATGAGCCTAGTTGATGATTTTTTTTTTTGGAAAAAAGAAAAAGAAAGAAAAAATTCACGTGAAATTGATGACAAAAAAAAAATTGTATTGATTTTTTGATAACAAGCCACATATGCAGATCTGTGTTGCTGGCGGTTTTTGTCGCACTCAACATTTTTGGTTTACTCTCTCTCGTGCTTCCGGCGCTATTCGCAATAAAACTTTTATATTTGTGATCAAATGGTCGGAAGTTTCAGGGATATTTTTTTGCCTCTTTTTGAGCGTTCCGTGTGGTTGGAATGCAGTTTTTTTTTGCTCCTCGCAAAGTTGTTGCTATTTTGAATAAACGGTCGAGGCCATTAGTGCTGTTTTTGCATGGCCACACACATCCGCTTCGATAAAATTCATAATAAATGAATTCATCCCATGGCAAAAACCAAAACCAAAATATTGAATGAGAGCAAGAGACCGAACGAGAAAAAAGCAGCAAACACAACATAAAATCCAGTGTATAAGCGGCTTGGTCTGTGTTTTTAGGTGCACGAGATATGGCTACTGTACAGTCAAACTACTGTGTTTATATGTATACTGTATATATGAATGGGTGGGTACATACCTTGATCAGCAACATTTATAACGCCATCCTGTGAAACGGCAATGGCTGAAATTGCCTGGAATTTTGCATTCGACGATAGCAGTGTGTCGGCACTGTTTGCTGCTGAACCATCATTATAAGCGCCATTGTTTATATTAATATTAAATGCATTAGCATTACCGCCGTTGCTCGGATTCATTAGATTACCACACGAGCACGCTGTAACTGCTGCATTTGAAGCCGATGCACCTCCATTGCTGCCACCACCGCCACTACCACCACCATTTCCAGCGCCAAACATCACGGGCGTTGTATTTGCATTGTTTCCGTTATTACGATTCGGATTCACTGTGGTCGACTGTGTACCATTTCCATTTGCAGCGCATTCACATGATCTGAAGTATAGAAAGAAAGAAACAAAAACGGAATGGTTTTGATGAATATTGCATCAGAACATACACACATATATACAAACATACATACACCCACGCGCGCGTGCGCGCGAGGTTACTAAATTACTAAGCTCGTTTCACTATACATCTGGCTATGCGAACTAAACTCGGTTTAGTTTTTTTCCTGCAACCAAATATGCAGCGGGCTGATGGCCGGTACACACTATTTTGTACCATTGCACCCACATCGGCAAATGCGAACGTGAATGCAAAAACTAAAAGCACTAAACTCGAACAACGAGTGAAAAATTAATGAAATGGAAAATTGTAAATGAAACTCATATGAATTAAACTAAATTATCACAGAATTTATCTCTATTAATAACCAGTGGCTCGTTCAAATTTATTAGCTCAATATGCGGTATACGCGTGGATTGAGTTGCATATTTCCTGGGCCGGGCCTATTCATGCAATCTCAATTTGATTACAAATCGAAATGCCGCTCTTCAATTTTCCCAAGTCATTTTATCCATTCTCATTCCTACAAATTACAAAATATCCCCAACGAAACCGACAAGGAGCTTGATGAAATAATATTCAGTCATACACCGAATCGAAACAATGTTGGACCAACGTCCTCAGCTTTATTAACACGCTTTTCAACATTTTCTCGCTCGTTTTCCACTCTTTTTTTTCCACACTCTTTCTCCAAAAGTGATATTTTGCAAAGTACACAGAAAATATGCAAAGCAATTCGCCTTGAATTTTAAATAACGACGACGAACGATGCTGAAAACACATTCGCCTCGTGCAAATTATCTCATTCGCGTATTGCATTTCAAGATGCAACGCCATAAAGTTTTTACGATCGTTTCACATTTTCTTCGCCACTTTTTTCCTTTTCTCTCTCTCTCTCTCTCTTTCTCTCTCTCGACTCTTGAAAAACGTTGAGAAATTGTGTTTATTGCGCAAAGTGCGAGCAGGTGATAAGGCTGCTTGCAGTGGTGCACGTTTGGTGCACAATATGAGAAAAAAGAGCGAGAAAAGACTGTTCCAATTCCATTTTGCATAATTTAAAATTAACGTTGATTCATTCACGAAATGCCGTTGCATTGTCGCGACGAATGAAAACATCGACGATTATGCTTGAAGATTTTTCTTAATTATGTCATCATTATTGCCATCGCCGAAAGAAAAGTCCATAATTTTATTCAAGCTTTTCATCAAGTAGATAAATTGTGTGTGCCGGCTCGTGCACTCACACAGTCACTTGCCGATATATGCCAGAGAGAAAAAACAGGTCGGCCCAGGCAACAACACAAGTGAAAGAAAAAGTTGAGGGCAGAAAAAAAAACACCGAGATAGAGAAAATGGCATTTTAAGTCTTTGTGTACTTTAGTTCGTTTGTTGGTTTTTGGGCGGCAAACGGATATTTTTGACTTAATTTATTGGGAAATTATGATAATTCGCCTCGCTAACGATTCTTTTGTCTCCTTCACGCGCCGCATTTCTTTCCAAAGCCAACTTTACTTACTACCAGCCGCCTCCACCACCACCACCATCACTGGCAACCAATTTTAGAGTCGAGGATTTAGCTTTATGATATATCGTATGTTCGTTTATCGTCGTTGGCTCGGCGCGATAGTTTTTCCTATGCAAGCTCCCACACCCCGTCCATAAAATCGGTTTTGTGCTGAGCATAGGAAAATTCGGTTAAAGAGGTGCATAATTTATAAAGATTACATAACATCCGTTTTGTGTACATTCTAAAAGTCGTTTACTTTATGGTTTGCTCAAAATATTCCTTATTCGAATCGCCCGAATGCATATGGTTATGGTTTCGCTTTCATAATCATTTTTTTCCTTCTTCTGCTTCTTCTGCCTTCTCTTTTGTTTATTTATGTACTTATCAATGGCTAAATCTATTCGGTTGCACCCCTTTGAAAATCCGTTTGGTTTGCTTTTCTTCCTACCCATGTGGAATACGGAGGATGAACCGTGTTCAAAAAGTTCGAACAAAACATTTAGTATTTAATGATAATTATTCATTTAAAATAGGGTCGGACGGATGTGCTAACCTCTTCCATGTTTTTTTTCCCTGTCCGGTTGGTTTTGTTATTGTTGAGAGAAGTTTTGTAACAAAATCATTTCATTGTATTATATCGTATTTGTTGTTGTTGTCGGTTGACCAAGACCCTGTGCATAAAATCGGAGCAGCACCCATTTGAATCATTCAAATTGAATGAAACACTTGAAATGGAATTTCGAATTCAGATGTGTGTAGATGCATAAATTTCGCATTGGTCCGTTTGGTCATTTGGTATGCGATGTGAATTGAAGAAAATTTCGATTACATTCACCAGATGCCAATCGAGAGAATAGTATGTTTTTCTGTGTGCGAATGAGAAATGCAAATCAATGCTGAGGCATTTGCTTTGACATGTTGTTTTATCATTGTGATTTGCAAGTATTTAATGTCAAGTCGAAGGCATAAATAACATGATTGAAATGATGATGATTGCATGGAAAAAGACCGAAATAGCTAAAATATAATCTATCAAAAACCGATTTTGAATCTGCATCAGATGTGCGCGCATAACGAGCCATTTTTTCCCTCTATTTGCTATTCTGCTGCCATTCACTCTAATAACAACAATCTATGTACCGAATGGATACTTACGCATAATCTTGTCGTCCAGCGAATGATTTCATATTGCCAGCTGTATCAATGACTCGGATTGAATTAATTCGCCGTGAATCACTGTCAGCCACATACAAATAACCATTTGGTGAGAATGCTAATGCGAGCACCGTTCCAAGTACTTGCTGCGACGTTTGATTTTTATTATCACCATTTGCGTTGCAGTGTAACGGTGTACCGGCGACGACTTTGATTTTCATGTCGGCCGTTAGCTTGAGCACCAAACGGTCGTCGATGAAATTCAATGAACCGTCAAGTGGACTGAGCGCCAAACCGGTCGGCCATTGTAATTGAGTTTCGCTTGAGAGTAGGGCGCCTTTGCATGGTGCTGGACTCCAGTGATTATTGTGCCCATGATGGCCGATTAGCGTGTGAATTATGCCATTCGGATCGATAGCACGAATGTTCGTTCCGTCGGCAATGTACATGGTTCGGTCGGCTGCAATCACAATACCCTTTGGATGTGATAAACGTGCCTGCAATGCAGGACCACCGTCGCCACAATTTGTCTCATCACCTGCGGAAGAGAGAAGAAAAAAATCGAATGAAACGGGGTGGTTTTTTGATGAGTAAAAACTACAGCGTCTACCTTGCGGTACACACAAACATCAATTAAAATGGAATCAAAAACTCAATTTACCTGGGACGCATCTCTGGCCGCTGCCAACAACTGGATCGCTATTCGATGTTGGATCGTGTACTTTATCAACGGCAACCACTCGTAATATTTGATGCTTTTCTGGATCCGAAATGTACAAGTGACCGTCGGCCGGTGAAACCGTCAAATAGTATTGATATGAAACTTGTGTGGCACTCAATTGAAGAACCGTATAAACTTTACCGTCTGGTGTAATGCGTCGTACAAGATTAAAATCACCCACGTACAAACTGCCATCTGCTCCAGTCGCCAATGCGATTGGTGTCAAAAGTCGTGCATCTTTGGCAACACCATTACAATGATCCGGACAATTCAATGGACGTTGCAATCCAGTGCCCATAATCACTTTGACTACACGTGGATATTCCTTGAGGTGCATCGTTGAACCATCTCCCTTCTGTAAAATTCCTTCATGGAAATTGTAGTGATGATGAATGTCCAAGCCCCAGCCACCAATATCCGAAATATCCACATCAAAACCTTGCAATTTGGCCGTTTGTGTCTCCCAAATGGGTTGAGCACATGTCGAATACTGGTATCCAACTGAAATGTGAGCAATCGATATACCGTACACCTTTTGCTTGTACACATTACGTTTGTTCCAGGCAAATGTATGCGATAGATTTGGATCAGCTTCGTATGTCTTAACATGCAATGAACCCTCGATTTCAACACCAACATGCACATGGGTCAATGTCTTTGGAATCTTTTCTTGTGTCAATCGCATTCGTACCAAGCTCAAGTAACCCGGCGCCTGTGAAGATTGGTAAGTCAAATGCAATTCCGAGCCAGGAATCTGAATAGTCTCTTGAACGATCTGAAAGAGAAATTAACGAAAGAGATAAGTCTATATGCGACTCCATAGCACACAAATATTCGTATTTAAATGTTCATTTTGGTAAAAGCATTAAGTGCATTTTCGAAGGAAATCATCCGTAGTGAGTTTCAAGCGGAGAATTTATGGTTTCGATTTTATGTGTAAATTTGTCGGCACTACAATTGCTGGTGTGTTCTGGCACTGTTCGCACACATTTCAAATTTCGATATTTGATAAATGCACGAAATTGTTTTGTCTATAATAACATAATTTGAGAACATGGCAAAACATTTCGACACACACAATCGTAAACACACAACGAAATTTGCGTTTTAACTGGAATCCGAGGTACTGATACAGTTGTAAATGGCTTTCTCCAATTTATCGATTTGGGTGAGAAATACGATTCCCAACCTTCTCTGTGCATTTTGCATTTGTTCAAAGCATTTGAGCGCATCGAGTGTGATAAGAAGTGGTTTTGTTAATGGCTTGTTAGGCAATTTCGTTCAAATATTTGTATTTGATACACACACACACACGATTCCGTACGCAAAATTCCGACATTCTTAGCACAGTTAGCAAGCAGTACATTCGAAATGTGCGTTTATTGCCGGCGTGCAATAAATAAAACCGAAGTTTGTTCTACGAAATAGTAATTGTTGTAATTTGAATTCAAATTAAAAGCAAAATCAATTAAGCCACAGATGACTCCATTTTCTCTCAACAGGGAGCGTCCCCCTTCACTCACATCCTCTGTCCATTGCCAATCCAATGATTGCATGCAAATTGTGCACTTGTCTAACTAGTTCATTCATCATCATGTTTTCTGTGTTTACTTTGATCCTATGTGTTGTGGGCAATGCATGATTTTCGTATTTTCTGTCCGATAAAATCAATAGCTCTGCGGTTTTTCCATATTGCAATCCACTGCTGATTTTCGATTAGTTGCAGTAAGTGCATAAATCAATGGAATCTTTGAATCGGCCGGTTCGTAGAGGAGGAATGAATTTGGGCTTGAGTCGAAGAGCGTATAATTGAATTATCACCATTTCAATACACACAGTAACAACAAACACACTACAAACCTGTGTTTCAGCAAATATTGTGCGTTTTCCGGGTTTTGAACCAACTCCAGCTGGCATCCATGTGCTAATCACTTGTGGTTTGAGCAGCTCATGAGCATGATCCAAGCATAGCATGGCATCTGTTTGTGCCGCTTCATCAAAACCATATCGAATTGTGTTTAAGAAACTGTACGCTGGATTCGGTGGTGCCACTCTGTTGATGAAACATGAATATATTGATCAATAAAATATTCCCGTGCACAACCATATCGAATGTCAACTAAATCTCATATTTTATATGAGGTAAAATGTCAAGTGGTTTTTCTTTGTTTGCACAAAATCAAATGTCAAACACTTACTTGACAGATAGTCGGCTCTGCTCTTCGTCTTCATTCAATTGCATTTGAATCGGTGGCAATACAACAATCTGGTTGAGAGAAAAAAAAGAGACGAATAAAAATTGGGTATTCAATGCGATAATTAAAAAAGCGGGGGCAAACAACAATTTACATGACTATTCAATTTACCTGATTCCATGGCACAAACACGGTTCGAGTCATCGGATGGAATGGTGAACGCTGAAATTGTAATGTGACAGCTCCGCCTCCATTAACTAGCACATCAAACCTGTGAATGAACAACAACAACAAAAAAATACGCTCAATTTGATGCTTTGCAAACTGAAAACTGACAGTGCAGAGAACAGTGGAATGAAAAAAAAAAGTCGGAAAAAAATGTTTTCGTTTGTTGTAGCACGATGGAAATTGCTTGAAAACGATCATTTAATTGTCGATGGAAAAACTTGCACCGAACAATGCAACAGTAATCAGTATACAATTTTGAGTTTATACGCGTATGTGAGTGAATGAGTGCTTGTGTCGAAATCCAATCCAAGAGGAATGAACGAAAAAAAACCCTTCATTTCGTGTCACACACAGCATAAAATTGCAGTCTCGATGAATTTAAGCAAATAAATGGTTAATTCCACTATTCCGCAGCCAGAACATACACACTTTGTATTGTTTCAAATTACAGGGTTTTTTCTCTCTCGTGCGGAAAATACTGTGTGGCTCATTCAATGTGCACTCTTTTTGCCGCTGTTGTTTCGAGCAAATTAAACGACATTTTTCTGTTTTACTGGAATGAAATCGAACCATTTATTATGCAATTTTTTCTTCCCATCTCTCTCTCTCTCTCTCTCTCTCTCTCTCTCTCTCTTACTTTCTCCTTTTTTGCTAGAAAATAAATGCACGTAGCATGTGTGTAATTAAACGTCGGTGCAACGTCAAGTCGATTCGGTTGTATTTAATTTCAGCTTTCGACTCGCGTAAATTGTATAATTACATGGATTATACTCTCTATCGCTGTGCCATCGTGGACGAATCGTCATCAACTTCTTGGAATTCGCTCCAGTATTTTTTTCTCTCGCTCGCTTTGTAAAATGCACAAACGAAATTTTCAAACAAGACCACCGAATGGGAAAAAAAAATGAAGAAAAATTGACTCACATTCTTGATTACATTTAGATTTCCGTGATAAACTGTGTACGTGTGTATTGCCATATAAAATGATTTCTTCGTTCGCTTTGAAATTGTTTAATTATGCTATTGTTTTCACATTTGACATGTGGTTTTGCATTTACCGCGGGTATGCAAACTGATGGCACCATTATGATTAAAATGAAAAGAACAAATAGGAAAAGTCAGCACGCGTGTAAGAAAATCTCTCTTTCTGCAACAGACGTTTTCCATTACGATGACGACACAGAAAATTAGATAAGAAATTAAATGTGCCGGTGCAAAGAAAAGTCAATGACGACACACACAGCAGCAGTAGCATTACCTTAATCGAGATACGCGGCCCATTTGAATATGAATGGAATAAAATGCGAATCATAGTCATAATCGTAATCATAATTACAAGCGTCGCCAACGTTATTTGTTCGGTATATTGTGACGTGGCGCGGTACGACGCGAACAAAAAAAGTTAAACCGCGGATTTATACATTTTGCATTCGTTCAATCTGTCTCGGGTTTGTTTTAACCCCATTCCCCATTCGTACGCGGCTACATCCATGCATTTAATATCAAATTATTCAACATGTATGCTGCCGCAGTTTTCCATATTTATTTTTTCGTTGTTGTTGCTGTTATCCGGGTGCAAATCATTTTTACGCTGGTATAAATTCGAAACAAGCGCTCATAATGTCGAATTCAATATGTAAGCGTTTGACTTGCAGATTTGTTTACTTTATTAACCAAACCACAGCCATATTTTAAGGTTTTTTTTTCAACGGAACGTTCCGTCTAAGCACACACGGCATCGTTTATCTCGTGTGCAGTGGATAAATGAATTCAATCGGATGTAGAATGTAAAGGTTTCGAAATGCGAGATGAAAGTTGATGGGAATATCAACCCCTTGAAAAAAAAGGTTCTGGCAAACATACACACACACACACACACACACACATTGAATGTAAATGTAGGTGGATAAATAGGAGATGGAACTCGCTCAATGCGGATACATTCCGTTCCACATATGACATTGTTGAAATACCATTAAGTTATGTAAATAAATTCACAACATCAAATTCATCTTTATCATAATAAAATGTAACCAGAGATCTTATCCCATGCATTGCTCCCGAACTCATTCATACACATGAATCGCGTACACGTTTCACAGACACAATGCCATTTTTGAGAGCGAGTTCACCTCAAAATGTGTCCTTCATAAAAGCATCATCACTATTAGAGTTCGACGTAACTTCCAATCTCGTTCACCGTCTAACTCATTTCCTTATTATGCGCTCGCTAACTCGCTCGCGTGCGCGCCAATAAAAAAAAGGCTTACGAATACGAAATATGTGCCACGAAGGAGTGGTTCACCTCTCGCAGGCAGAAACCATAAAGGCATCAGTCATGCATATTTCAATCTCCGTCACAACGCAACGAACACGGCCACGGCGCCACACAAAAGAAAATTGGAAACAATTTAATATGCTAAAAAGCGTTTTTTTCTTCTTTCATTTAACGCTTCAACGTTTTATTTTTCTATCTTTATTCGTTCAAGCGTGTCGTAAAGTCGAGTGAGCTCGTGAGAGCTACTCATTTGAATTTTTACGCATTGAAAAACGAAAACAAGCGGTGAGAGTTGAAATTGTATTTTAAATGATGCGGTTGGCATATAGCGTGAAAAAGTGTGAGTTGTCAAGCGTAGCCTAAAACCACATCATCCTTGCCGAAGATTCTGAATAAATCGAAGCATTTTAGGAATAAATGCATACACAGTGAATTCGACACGTCTTATTAATTTTCTGGCGCATTTTGAGTCATTCATTCCCCCATGCGCTTTGGAGCGCACCTCGGCAACACGTGCCTTGATTGCTCTCGTCGAATTTCAAATCCGCGACTTTTTTATCTCAGTCTTTGGCTTTAATACAATTTTAATAATTATTTGCGTCTCATTTCCATAATGACTGGATATTTTCATATGAAGAAAGCTTTCGCTCTCGTTTTTTTTATTTGCTTCCTCCAGAAAGAACGATTCTTGTGAATCTTTGATTTGTGTGCACTTCAGGGGAATTCATGATTGGCCGAACTCGAAATACGATAAAGCCTATCAAGCGAAAATTCTGTGTCTAGACATTTCCAATCATAAATGAGAATATCTTCGACCAAAAAAAGAAGTAAAAATAAACTTAAATATCATCTCGACGAGAAAGAAAAAAAATGAAGTATCATATGAAGAAAGATCAACCGAAAGTCAAACCATGTTTATTTAAGTTTTTATCAATGTTTATATACGATATTTTTTTCTTCATCGTCCGATCTTTGACATAAATATTACGACTCTCTCACCAACTTGAATGACGATTGTTGCGAATTCAAGTATGTGTGCTATCAGCAAACATATCATAAAATGGGCCACATCTCGAAAATATAAAATCCAAATCTCTCTCTTCTGTTTCTCGCACAACAAAAATTGTGATAAAAATTTATTTTATGGAATAATATGTTTTATCATTTCTCTATGATGCGTAAGCATGTGTAATCGACATGTAAAACGCAATTCACCGCTTTCATTTTCCACATCATCTCCTCCCTCCGTTTCGAAGTTAAGGTTGAATGTGTGAGAAAAGCGAGAAAACAAATGAATATGATTGACATTTGATGTGACATTCACGAAATAAATGGCAGTCATTTCGGCTTTATTCCTCTTTTTTTTTCTTCAAAGAAGTAAAAATAAATTGCAACGGTGCAAAATATTGCTCGTTTTTCCACCCTTCACAAACGATAACAACATAAAAGACAATCTAATGAGATTGTGTTCACATTTTCTAGCTCGCACACACGTTAAAGTACATTTAATATACATGCACAAAGTAAAATTCATGACATAGAAAAGTGGATGGTTTTTCGCGTTATTTTAACACAACGCGCATTATACATTGAGTACTTTTTGCCACTAAATCCACCCGCACGAGTGGTTTGTCCGCATTTGCGTAAGACAACTAATGCGCGCGGGCATAAAAAAAGCAATGCTCACAACAGATATTTTTTTTAAATTTAAATTACGAGCATGGAATGTATTGATGGAAATTACTGCATAACTAACCCTGACGAGGAGCCATAACAATAAATGGTAAAGCGTTTATTACTACCATATATCGGTTTCAACTTGTGGAAATGACATATAATGCTTTATGAAATCCAGGCCAACGAAACGCATACACAAACACGCTAACACATCGATAGCCTTTTGATGAATTGCGATTAATTTTTTATGCGATCATAGCGGATTCATAAACTTATTTCTTCTGCTCTCTGTCATTTTATATATACACGTAAACATTTATTATTCATAAAGGCGCGAGCGAGCGCGCATACACAAGCAATTTTAGCCATTTTCATCAATCACTAATACGGCGGCTTCCTTTGATGTTACGACCTCCTATTAAAATCAGAGCAATTTTTTTTTCAAAAGGCTTTATTTCGACCAAAATGGCAGCGAATAGAAATCGGATTAAAAGATGTATTCAACGGTTATTATTGCATGGGTGGATATTTTTTCATAGAATGTGTGTGCGAGTGATGTTTTGTTGCACATTTTCAATTAATGGATGCATACCATCAATTTTAGATGCTTTTAAAAATTGACAAATTCCCTCATCACAGCTGCGGGGCGGAGGGAGTGGTGTGACCGCGTTTGAAAATGTCGTTCATCAATGGAACACACACACAAAAATGAAACTGCCAAATCAAAGCATAAAAGAGTCGATACGTGCCGTTGGTTTCAATGGCAATGCGCTATTAAAAGCAAACACACACACACACACAAAGAGTGGATGAGACAAGGAGAGCGAGGCGAGTGAGGAAGAGAGAAAATGAAAGAGCAATAGGGATTGATAGAGCGATAGAGAGAAAGAGAGGGAACATCAAGTAGCACTACGTGTATTTTTTTTTCAGCGATAAAACCTGTCTTTTTTCGGTGAAAATGCAATATATCACATCACAAGTGGAGTAAAAACCATTGGTTCGATGTCTGATGGCGGGTTACGAATTGTTTGGTGAGCAAGAGTGGAAAAGAGATAGAGAGAGATAGAGCGAGCGAACGAACGAGAACA